CTCTTCAATGAGGAGAGGTACGTTTTTTTCACTGAATGCATGATCTCAGAAGCACAAAAAAGAACATTGCTATTTCTTTTATTGCTTTCTGTGACATGCAAACAGTCCTATGCATTACTCCAGAGTGAATTCTTTCAAAATATGAGATGGAGGCAGGTCACAATCTTGAAATCTGTTACCAGAGATAAACAAGCACCTGAATTTTGTCCCACTGACCTGCCATCAAATCAAACCAATGGATGTGAAGGTGATCTGGCTGCGACATCTGTCACCCCATTGATCGGCAGGGTTGATTCAACCTGTCATATTTTGTCTGGAGACATATGTTGGAACTACTTAAGACTATTATTACAGTAACTTTTAGAGAATTTTTAAAATACTGAATTATTAGCAAAATCCAGTTTATTGTTCCCATTTCTGCCTGCTTGCCTATGTTTTAGCAATGAGGCAATACAGTATTGCTGCAATTTTCAGCTTTTAAAATTTTCAAATTCTAAGTACACTTAAAACTTCTGTAGGCTTGGATGGGACGTGAGATTCCTGTATGTTCGCTGCCTCCTTCACAAAACATGTGGATCTGTGTCTACATGAACTTGTTAGCAGCTATGTGGGGAACAAAGAGGAGAGCTGGAAGCAGAGTAAATTAGAAGACAAAGGGAAACTCCAAAGGGGAACATGAAAAAGCCCTTCCCAGAACACAATGTTTTACAAACTGCCATTATTATTGTGAAATCAGTGCCAACATTTATTCTTCTGATTTGCCCCAGATATAATGTACTTCTGCACACAAGAAGGACAGGAAGTCCCGGTAGAATCCTAATAGAATCTCTGTGCTCAAAAGCCACCCATGTACCAGACAAGACTGCCATCTATTATCAGCATGTGTCCATACTTGTCAGCAAGACTAAGGAGGCTCCCAGACTGTCACTAGTTTCAGGTGGCATTCAAACACATGCTGGCAAATGCAAAATTGTAGTGGATTGGGAGATCTTCCCCAAAAGACTGGACTTTTTGTAATGAGGAAAGTGACGGGAAGAGGCACTATAAAGTGAGGGATAGCACTTGCTTTGACACAATAAACTCCAGCTTTGAATCAGGATGAATGCTCAACAAGCAGGTCATCTGGGAGCACCCTGAATCTCATCAAGGAAAGGGTAATGCATCTGTGGGCTATGAACAAGACCAGGCCTCATCTCAAGATCTTAGAAGATTTAGAACCAGCTGTCAGGTGGTGTGTAGGATAACAGATCTAATCCAGATGGAACAATGCCAGATCTGGTCCTTTCCATAAACCTGTCTCAATAAAGACAGGTAATGCTTGCCTCCAAGATTGGCTGGCATATGGCTTGGGAAGCACTGTCCATACCTCTTTGCCACTTTTTCCTACAGACAAGCACAGGCATGAAAAGGAATAGCAATTTTTAAACACAGTTACATTTTGCTGCAGCTTTGCGAATTTACACTATGCCATTTAATAGTACAGGGAGCTCTCAATACACAACTATCTAAGGATATCAGAATGCAGCTATCCCAACACTAAAGTTCCAGGAATCAAGCTTTTGTTTGATATGAAAGTGTAGTTACATCAAGATCAACACTTGTTTACTGCTGCTACACGTTGCTAGCAATTTCAGATCAACTTTGCAGATTTCAAATGACCACCATGGTTTTAGTGAAGAGGGTACAATTTTTAGATTAAGCCTAATTTTAAAATTTCACAATTAGTTTTTGCTCACCAGACCTTCGCTTTAAGTCAGGAATGGGGAACTTGTAGCCCTCCAGGAGTTTTTCAGAAGCTGGAAAACTGAAAGTTATATAATTTAAGCTGGATTTCAGCTCATTTCTAAAAATGGTTGGAATGACACAAATATGTTTAATTGCTTTATTAGTCCAACCTTGTTTCATGTGCACATCTGGCTTCTGGACTTCAGAGTGCTTCAGACAGAATATAGTTGTGACATTACATGGGTCTCTCATTATTGCCACTGCTCTTATGTTCTCACAAAAATGGGATGCATCCAACAGAAATGATAAGAATGGAGAACCAATCTCAAGATGCTGAAGTGTATTGCACTGTTTATTAGTGCTTTGTGTTCTCAAAAGGTTCCTGCCATCCCTTTCTGTAGTGTCGAAACTGCAGATCCTCTTGGGCTTGGTTGGCTATAAGGGGGGGGGGACCTCAGATCAGGACTGGCATTGTCACTTCCCATCTTACTTTGCTACTCAAGAAGACTGTCACTACCATCACAGATTTGCTTGCAGACATGGCCAAAGGAGGGGAATGCAGTGACTTTTGCTGTTGCATTTCAGCTGCTATGATCCTAAGCCTGAAGAGCAGGTGGCTGCCATATATTTGTGCTCATTCATGTCTCTTAAGCACCAAAAATGACCCTCAGAATACAAGGGAAGTTAGGTATGGGAAGGGTTCTCTCTGAGACTCCACTGCAATGGCACAATGTTCCAGAAGGGGTAGAGGAGCACCACATGAACTGTGTTCCTCCCAGCTTGCCCCATAGTTGATTGCTGGGTTGGAGGGTGTGTGATTGCAATGGGGAGGAAGCTGTTTGGGGGAACTAAAGGAAGCCCCATCTCTCATTGCTAGGGTGGGGAAGGATCTGCTCTCCTCTGCCTCATCAGGGACTTTGAAAGTGAGGATCACGCTGGCTGCTGCCCCTGTAATCCCCACTTTAAAAGGATTTCTTACTCATTGCTGTGATGGAGAAGCCTGCCTTTCTTGGCCTGAGCAGGGAGAGACTATGGCAATATGTGTGTGTGTGCATGTGCACTCAGACCATGTTGATGCCACCAACTTAGGCCCTCCAATGGTCACACATTGCTCCATGTGGTCCTTGATGGCAAAAGGCTTATCCACCTCTGTTCTAGGAGAATGTATGGAAAAATTAGTCATAGGATACTTGTGCTAACAAAATATGATTTTTAGCAACTAAGGTTATGGTCTCCCTCTATTCCCATCTGGTGCTGAGTACTGGAGCTATCATTTAGCACAGGGCTGGGGAACCTCAGGCTGGGAGCCTATTTGCCTGGCCCTCAAGACTCTCCAGGTTCTGCTCCAAAGTCTCTTCCTGGAACAGGATGAGGGACATGCAGTTCAGCAAGTGATAGCAAGCTGGACAGCTGTAATTTTGGACCACAACAAAAGAAAATGTGAGTAAAAAGCAGAAGCTGCTTCCTTTTAATCACCTTCTGTAGAGTCATCTCTTCAGCCTACCAGCTCACATTTCACAAGGTGACCATTCAGAGGGTCAAAGCTGAACACATATTGTAAATTCTTCAATGATTTTAGCTTGATGTGAAAGTTTTATCAGATTCCCTGGTGGGAAAGTAACTGAGGAGTAATTAACCATGTCACAGTATTATGGTCCAAGCCGGATGAGATGTTGATCAGTGATCCAGCTGCCATTCATACCCAAGTCCAGTTAGAAAGCCAGTTGGTACAACACAACTGGGAATGGTGAAGGAGGGGTGGTGGACTGAGTTTCCCATGCTCCCTAAACAGCTGCTTCTCCCATTCTCATAGCACTAGGACTCAGGTTCATCCAATGAAGCTGAATGTTGAAAGATTCAAGATAAAGTGCTTCTTCACACAGCACACAGTTATGCTGTGGAATTTGCTTTCACCAGAAGTCATGATGGCCACCAACTTGGATGGCTGTAAAAGACAAATTCATGGAGAATCAGACTATCAATGGCTACTAACCATGATGGGTGTCTTGCATCTCCATTGTTGGAATGCTATTGTGCTCTGGTCCTGCTTCTGGGTTTCTCATAAGCATCTGGTTGGCCACTGTCAGACATTCTCACTGTGGTCCTGCTTCTGGGTTTCTCATAAGCATCTGGTTGGCCACTGTGAGAACAGGATGCTGGACTTCTTAAGTTCCTATGACTGGTAAAGGTAAAGGGACCCCTGACCGTTAGGTCCAGTCATGGACGACTCTGGGGTCGCAGTGCTCATCTCGCTTTACTGGCCGAGGGAGCCGGCATACAGCTTCCGGGTCATGTGGCCAGCATGACTAAGCTGTCATGGTCTGGTCTACGGGCGATCAAAGTCCTGGCTGAGGATGTCGGGACCGGGGGCAAGATGGCGGGGTGGGAGCAGGAATGAAAGTCCAGAAGCCAGGGGTCTGAGGGTCAGGAAGCAGGGAGTCATGAAGTCAAGGGTCCAGGGGTCGAGAAGCAAGGAGTCAAGGAGCTGAGGTCCGAGGATCAGAAAACAAGGAGCCAAACGCAGCAAGGCAGGAAACGTGTTGCTGTGGCAAAGAGCCGGAGGGAAATGCTGACCTTATATCCCTTCCTGGCTCTTGCCACCAGGTGCAGTGAGTTACCAAGTGGCCTCACCTGTGAGGCCGCGCCTTGCCTCTCCAGAACAAACTTAGGAAGGCCCCAGTCCTGCAAAGCCCTACTGGTCACAGGGCCTGGCTCCTGCATGCACTCCTGACATAAGCTGCTTCTGGCGAACCAGAGCAGAGCACAGAAATGCTGTTTACCTTCCTGCTGGAGTGGTACCTATTTATCTACTTACACTTTGACGTGCTTTTGAACTGCTAGGTGGGCAGGAGCTATGACTGGTACAGCCATTGTATTTCTAACAAGGTTCTATGTATGCACACAGCTGGACTTGCTTACTAGCAACCAATCCAACCCCAACAGTACATTTTGATGTTCTATGAATGCTTGAGATACAACATACAAATTTGTTAAGAAAGCTAGTTTTTACTTAATATTTCCTTGGAAATACAAAAATACATTCATGAAACATGACTAGATACAATAATATTATGCCATTTCAGAGGTTTTGAATGCTTGGTTTATTCCCTTTAGATACATTGCTTTGAAGACTCTAAAACTTTCTTAATGTAAAAGTGTTTTTCTGTCCAGACATTTGAGTGCAATTAATTTTCTTCTCATAACTTGTTGCGTTTCTTCTGCTCCCAAACTAAATGGTAAAAATTGCTTACATACTAAACCAATCCAAGTCAGGGTTATACATATGGTACACTGTAGTTAAACATTAAATAATCCAGATAATAAAAGTTGTAAATCTGCTGTCTTTCTGTGGCGGAAATTTCTGCCAAGTATTGTCTGACAACTTCTAAATTTGTTCTTTTTTCACTGGAATGCCTGTCTTTGAAATTAGGAAAAGTCAGCCCCTCTGGTGCACCTATTAGTCTCAAAAAATAATTGGCATCGTCTCCCAAAGTCTCAAATTTTCCAATGTAATCATAGTTGATAGCACAAGGATAACAAAGTTGGCTGATCTGTTCCCAGTGAGTGTCCATACCTACTGGCCGATGGGAATCTAACAAATACTGGATGAACTCTTTAAATTTCACTCCTGAGCCAGTTGCCAATGCCACTCTATCTGCATTAAGTCTGTATTTCTTAATAATTGCCTTCCCAAATACAGGGTGGTAGTAGCTGTTTGGATGTTCAAACTTATCTCTGAATGCAGACACTAATCTTTCCATGGGATCCCGTACAAATATAACTTTGGTGTACGTCTTTAAACGCTTGTGTATCCCTTTTAGATTGTAGCTGTCTAGTTTTCTGAGATGCTTTCCATAATGTGCAGCATCATGCGTAATGTTAGCAGCAGAATCAGCAACGCCACTGAGCACCATCAAAACCCGCTTCCAGTTGGAACAACCTGCCTTAGGCACCTCACAGTACAAGACTTTGTGCTTATCTTCCACATAGATTCTGGACACCATGCGCGTAAGGTGAGTCCGGGGTCTGCTTTTGCCAGTGTACCTTTTGCAGAAATCATAAAGGAAAGATCTTCGTTTCTCTTGCATCTCATCTGTGGTTTTCCAGTGATTGCTTTTGATTAAAGTTTTGTTTAAAGGGCGCAGAACTGGTGGTAAATTCACTTGCCTGAACTGTTTAAGAAGTGATTTAATCTTCTGCGACTCTTCAGATAATCCAGTAGTCAAGGAGCCTGCCATCCCTAGAATAGGGTCAGCATCTCCCTGAGAATGTCCAATCTCAATAAGAGCTTTACGTGGCTTGTCAAGCTTTTCACCAGTGACCCAGTTTTTTGGTTTTCTTTCAGGTTCCTCTGAAGAATAGAATCTGAAGTTCTAAGAGGGGAAAAAAGAAACCAGAGAACTCTTAGAATGTTCCTCTATTGGGGCCTGCTAAAAATGTTGCTGCATAGAGAGCTGCTTTTCAGAATTCCAGTTGCCCCATTCCTTTCTCTCTCCCCTCCAATTTTCCATCCCCCGACTGCCCCAACATTCACCCAGCATGTAGAAATTAAGCATGTTTTTTGGGACTCTCACTCCCTTAAGGTTTTGGTTTCTTTAGAAAAAACCGCCAACTACTACTGCAGCCCTTGATGTTTCCAGTGTATGCTTGCACTTCCCTCTTGAGCATGGGTGCTGTCTGCTTTGGCCACATAAGCCAAACAAATAGCACTTGCTTGCTGAAACAGATCTTATCTGCATTGCTCACCACCAGTCAACCTTCATTAACAAAGTAATGAAGTGATGGGTAACGAGTGAAATTTGCTGTAGGAAGGCACTCTAGTATCCTTGTTAGCAGATAAGGAAAATGACTTCTTGGTATATTTTTTATTGAACAAGTAGTTCTATGTTCTTTAAAGGGGAAAATGAATATTAAGAGATGAGACTTATCTTTTTACAGAAGTTGAATAACAAGGAGTCCTCTCATGCATGGTTCTCAGGGGTTTGCTAGATTTATTTATTTATGAGCAGATTTATAACCCACATATTTCACAAATGCTTGCACAAGGATTTGTGCAGTACTATAATACCAGGTTCTGTGGGACTTCTGCTTTATCTTGCACTAGAGAAACCACATCTTTGGATTCTGCTTAACTTTTCTGATTAAAAAAAGATCTAGGATGTGGTATAAACTATCCTTCCATGACTAGAAGACACCTTTCACATGTGGAAGTGAAGGACACTTTTGGAATCTTCCAACTGATTTTACTGGTGGTTTTATTTGTTTTATTTTGTGCTGCAATTTAGTGGCTTTATATGGCGAACTGCCTACAGGGCTTAGCATGGGTTGAGGTGAAAGCTGAATAAACAAACAGACAAACGAGCTGATTGAAATTGACTAGCGACCAGGAATCTATTTATAACTGTACTTTTCTGAATGTTGTGTAGATTGAATCCCAGGAATCCCTAAATGATACAAATGAACTTCGGCAGCTGAGGATATATACAGGAAATATGCAAATACAGATAACAACACTGATATCACAAACATCTGTAGATCTGAAATTTACCCTCAGTGTATTATGAATGGAAAACCTTTGAACGATTTCAACAAGAGGGAATGAGATATAAAAAGCCAGGTGATGGCTATTATCCAAGAACTGATTTAAATAAACAAGTCAGCTAGGACCCCTGACCAAAGCTCAAAGTTATCCCTAAGGACATTGCGGAGAGGTAACAGAAAGTGACCAGAGGACTTCTAGTGCAGCTACCTGAGAAAGAGAGTACGCACTTGCAGCAGGAGATGCTGAACCACTATGACAGGAGTGACTTTTGTTGTTGTTGTTTTGTTTGCTAGAGCAGCTAAGCTTCTCAAAAGTGCCTCAGGTAGCTCTCCCCAGGTTCAACTGGCACACACACAGCAGGAGTGCCGTGGAACTGCTCCCTGCTCAGCTCTGGGAGAGAAATTGTCAGTCAGGAAGAAGGCAGCACTAATCAGATGTGGGGTGGAAAGAGAGACAAAAAAAGGGGGAAATGGATGTTGCAAGGTGAGGGTTACATTATGTAAAGGACCATTTTTGCTATTTTGTTTCATGGCCCCCATACTTAATCTTTCTGCAGTTCCAAAGTCATTAACAATGGTACCAAGTAGTGATTAATGGCTGGTTATTGTCAGGTACTGAGTAAGTGAGTGCAGAGTGAGGGAAGGACAATCCGTGTCAGTCTGTGAGCCATTGGTTGCTGGTCCATGGTGACTCCACCACAGCCCAGCTTGGGCGGGATGCTTCAGGGACCAAATAGGGTACCAGTATCTGTGGGGAATGCTGATCCACCACATCAGATAGCGTGAGAAGCACTGAATATTTCAATGCAAGTAGCATGAATAGTCCCTGTATTATCCTGCTTTTTGTTGAAATTGCAATGGTATACTGGCTTGTCAATAAATAAATCATCACTATAGCCTATCTTCCTTTCGTGAACCTGTGTGGTATAGTGGTTACAGTGTCAGACCATGACTTAGGAGACCAGGGTTCAACTCCTCACTCAAAACCTTGGGCCTAAACTACCTTGCAGGGTTGTTGTGTTTAAATGAGATGGGGAAGAACCCTGTATACCACCTTGAGCTCCTTGGAGAAAATAGTGAAATATAAATGCATTTAAATAAACAGATAGATAAAATAGGTTTATGTTAAACATAATGGATGGAATTCAATGTTGCACTAATTTGACCATGCTCTCAGTGTTTCCACATGCCAGAAAGAATGTTCTCCACACACAGAAAAACACCTGGGCTGTTCTGGGAATTCTCCTGACCCCCTAGAGCTAATTTGGTGGGAGGGCACAGGGGAAGAGGGGAAAGAAGTCCCATTGCACTAGCAGGATTTGTTGTTCTGGCTCCTGCTAGTGCATCTGCTCAGTTGAATCTGGCCCACTAACTGCTGCAATTAGTGAATGAAAACAACTAACATTTGAACAGAGGCAACCTCCATAAGTGCTTTGTTTCATTGACTCTATTTAGGAAAAGGAGCAAAGAGAAAAATGTAAAGCACAAAGAGCAGCTGGCCACTTACTCAAATGGATGCAAGTTAGATATTTTGGAACTTGTTTTCATGTTTTCTGTATAAATTAAAAACCTTTGAAGTAGTGATTTTGTGTCTCCCTGTATTAGCTAATCAGCTTTCAGTGCTCCTAAGCAAGAGTCCCACTTTCACCTTCCGAGCATTACCTGCAGTGCATCAGATGTGACATTCCAGGAAGCAGAGTGTCTATGTGCATTTCTTCTTGCATTCCCTGTACTGCCGAGAAGCTCGGAAAGGTCACTTTACCCTCACAGCAATCTTATGGAGATGGACAGGGCTTATGAGACACACAGAGGGGCCATGACGCTATCACTGGATGCTCCTGGTGCACCCATGCAACACTGCTTTACTGTACATTATGTTACTCATGTTATGGCCACCTGCGTGGAGCAGCTCTCTACCGAGGTAGCTTCATGTACTTTCTACATGAAATGTGTGACCTCAGTGAACTCATAAACCAGGTGACCTTTGAAGGATGGTCTTTCCCATTCCATAAGGAATCACAGTGGCCCTTAAATGTCTCAATAATGGTTAGCCTTGGGGTTGTGTCTAAGAATACCCAGGATTTCCTTGTCCAATGCAAGTGAGACAAGAGTCTCAGTTGCCTTGATAAATCAACCACTATGGTGCCCTCCGGATGTTCCTAGACTACAACTCCCATCATCCTTGACAATTGGCCAGATTATCTGGGGTTGATGGAAGTTGTATTCAAACAACATTTGGAAGGCACACGTTGGCTAACCCTGCCGAGATACAGTAACTTCTGCATCTTGACTGCATAACCCAAGCAAGCCAGAACAGTTTGGAAAAGCAGGGATTTCCATTAGGGAAGATATTTAAAAGGCTATTTAAGTTGCAATGATGTTTTAAACCTTTTAAATTTAGCAGTGTGGTTGCTTAAAATGTAAAAAATATACAAAACGTGAAATAAAATATATTCTGTTGAATCCAGGAAAGGCAACCAGAAAGAGAAAAATGGGAGCAAGCTTTACTGTGTTTTAAATTTTATTCTCTATTCTCCTGTTTTTGTATTTGTGTTATGCTGTGCCCTGAAATTGGATAAGATGAAAGTTGGCATTAAAATGTTTTAAGTAAATAAACTTGGGAATGCAGCAGCCAGTGCCCACTTATAGATGACAAAGGGTAAAAAACTACAGAAAGAAGCCACAAAAAGAGGATGAAATGGGGGTCAGTGGCACAGGGGGAAAGGTTTAACCCTTTCCCCATGAGTAATTTCCCTGATTCCCATCTCTCAAAACAACAAGAACAGCTGTTAGTCCCATGGAGTGGGCTGTGGTGGGAGCTAGATTATCTTAAATGGGGTGGGAGTGGCGGAGAGAAAGTATCAAGACATAATTCCTTGGCTAAGTCAAAACATACCACTTTCTTTTAGCTTCTGATTTGTTCATACAAGACTGTATAAAATCACATGTATTAATGAAATGAGACAGTTTGCACAATCTGGTTCAACAAACTGATTTGTGTAGGCAGTAACTTGGATAAACGGAATTAATCTCCAATTTTGTTTGCCAATTCTTGTTAAACTGCTAATTAATTTCCCCCTTGTCTTCCTCTTACAGTCAAAATATTATGCATTTTTTTCTCAATAAGCTGAACTTCATGATGGCTGAGGAATTCTGAATCTTTGCCAGCCTAGTAGCATCTCCACATTAGGGCTACACTCTATGATCCTCTAAATGGAATTAACTGCTGGTAAATATTTATATGCATGCAGCTTTTGGCTCTAATCCAGAGAAAGTTAGTTGTGTTTAAGTTTTATTCAAATAAAGGAGATGAATTACTTGCAACTAAATTAAGCTCCAGTTAGATCTTCAGCAAAACCAACTTACTCTGGATAGGAACAACTGAGCTCTGTTAGATAATTTCAAGCCAGCTACAGAGAAAAGTGAAAAACCAACCCAACCCACTGGCTTCAGCAAGAGTTTTATTTTATGTCAATACATTATTCTTTTTGTCTGTATTCAAACATGGTAATGGATTAAGTTGAACCTTGAAATAATAATAAAACAACAAAAGATTAAATTATGTTGAAGATAACTAATCAATTTGTTTACCATATGTTTTCAGCTAAAACTGTTGTGCTCCTTTTATTAAATGTTAAAAGAAATATTTTAATCTATACAAAAAACCTGTTTTTAATGAATCTTCTCATTACACCCAATGTCTGGCTCCACCTCCAGTCTGCAGTTTCTACATTTTCAGTTCCTTCTTGTCCATTCACTGAATTAGACATAATTACTTCTAAACAGTTTGTTTTTATTCACATTGTTTTTATGCTTCAATCCTGCTTTTAAGAGGGGGTTGTTTCATATGACTACAGTGGTACCTCGGGTTACATACGCTTCAGGTTACAGACTCCGCTAACCCAAAAATAGTACCTCGGGTTAAGAACTTTGCTTCAGGATGAGAACAGAAATTGTGCAGCAGCAGCGCGGTGGCAGCAGGAGGCCCCATTAGCTAAAGTGGTCTTCAGGTTAAGAACAGTTTCAGGTTAAGAACGGACCTCCGGAACGAATTGAGTACTTAAAGCGAGGTACCACTTTATTTGTTCATAGGGAGTAAGGTAAAGGTAACATTAAGGGATCCCTGGACAGTTAAGTCCAGTCAAAGGCGACTACGGGGTATGGCACTCATCTCATTTTTCCTGCTGAGGGAGCCGGCGTTTGTCCACAGACAGCTTTCTGGGTTATGTGGCCAGCATGACTAAGCTGCTTCTGGTGCAACGGGACACCGTGACAAGTGCTAGAGTGCACAGAAACACCATTTATCTTGCCGCCACAGTGGTACCTATTTATCTACTTCCGCTGGTGTGCTTTTGAACTGCTAGGTTGGCAGATGCTGGGACAGAGCAGGTTATGCATGTGACACTGTGGTCTAGACCACTGAGCCTCTTGGGCTTGCCAATCAGAAGGTCGGCAGTTTGAATCCAGGCAATAGGGTGAACTCCCATTGCTCTGTCCCAGCTCCTGCCAACCTAGCAGTTCGAAAGCATACCAGTGCAAATAGATAAATAGGTACCGCTGCAGTAGGAAGGTAAATGGCATTTCCATGCACTCTGGCAGTTGTCATGGTGTCCTGTTGCACCAGAAGCAGTTTAGTCATGCCGGCCACATGACCTGGAAAGCTGTCTGTGGACAAACACCGGCTCCCTCGGCCTGAAAAGTGAGATGAGCGCCACACCCCATAGTCACCTCTGACTGAACTTAACCATCCAGTCATTTACCTTTTACCATAGGGAGTGTAGTGTGCCAGAAACAACAAACATCTGCCTATAAATTATTGACTGGGTTTTAACCTATCTAATGCAAAATATCTAATACAAAGTACTGTATGTATATCTCATGAACTATGCAGTTAAAAGATTTATATACATTTTTAAAATACCTGATTAGTTGCGTGTTGCTGTATTTTTTCTTCAGACACTGAAAGAAAAAATTAAAAATCAGTAAGTAGTAGTATATTACAATGAAGTGATCATGTACATAACAAAACTAAGTTAAGAGAGAAAAGTTATGAAACAAAGTACAAAAGTATACAGAAATATTAAAACTAGCTACCTTTTTAATCAGTATTTTAGAATATGTGGAATGTTCACACATTAGGAAAAGCATATTGGCCTAGTTTGTATGTAACATTAAAACATGGTTTAAACAAACCTTAGTTAACAAATCATGGTGTAGTGTTACATGCAAACCCAGCCCTGCACCTTAACAATTAACTGTGTGCTGTTGCAACACTATGAAGCAACACCAGTAGTAGCACACCGGTGACACTGTGAAGCAACACAAGGAGTAGCACTGTGGCTGACCACTTCTTGTCCGATCTTTTGATCCTCATCTTATACCTACATCTTTAAAAAACTCTTGCCTGGGAATTAAATTATATTTCCTTAATAAATCCAAAAGGACAAGGGGTTGAGCAGAAATATACTAAATGACTGCCAACAGCATGGTACTTAACATTTTATAACATAAGGAGTTTTCACACATCAGTCACTGCATGCCATATATAGTTACATCTTAATAGTTTCATTCCCCTTCAGAAGAGGATGCTCCAAATACAAGAGAATTTTGCTTCTGCCTTTTGAAGACAGCAGGCATCAAACACAGGCTTCTTGGGCAGTTACCTCAGGCCATGCAAGCTCCAGGATGGATTCCTAGAACATTTCCTAAGCCATAATACTGAGGAGCTGATGTACTAGAGGCTTGCCTAGGAAAGTTTTATTAGCGTATTCTATTACAACACAGCTTTATCTAGGGCTGCAATCCCCCAAAACAACTACATATGAAAAGATACGACAGAAAGAGATGGAGCTTGCACATGCAAAAGTGAACAGGGACTGTATACATAATATGGAATACTCATTCTACAACAGAAAATGCCAGCACTTCAACTAAGGCAGGTAAGGTGGAAAAGTGGTTTGACAGATTCAGGCATCTTGTTCTCTTATTAGAAGTGACTTGGGAAAGCCAGCAGGGCCATTTAGAAAAGGGAAGTGCAGGCTGAAATCCTCTTTTCCCCTCCCTACTTATGCAGCTTAAAAGAATATGTTGAAAATAAAGGCAACAAAGGTTGTTGTTGTGTGGTTTTTTAAACTTTTCATGTGCACTAGGTTACCGTTATCACTGAAAGGCTTTCACCTTGTTTGTGGGAATTTCAGTTGAACTCCATCAATCACGGTTTTCTGGGCCAAGGATATGTGGATGGCACTCCTTTTACAGCTTGTCAGCGTCACAATTTGTGTAGCCAGAGGGATTGCTGTGGAGCCACATTAGGCAAACTATCAAACTGGCAGGTTTAAAGGCATTGACAAATGCGCTCACTTTTGTTCTTCTTCAAACACAGAAGATTGAAGGTTTGCTTTCATGTTTACAAAATTGCATTTTTCCCCCCTGCAGGACAACAAATGGATCAAACCTCTTTTTTTTAAAAAATAGTATTTTTCACCTGATTTACAGGTGCTGATCTTTCTACATGGCAGAACATCCAGTAATACCTTTGTGGTTACTTTTGTTATTGAGCATATTCAATCCAAATAATCTGGTGATTAGTATCTTTAAAACTGATAGGCTGAATTAAAAAGGTGGCAGATCAAAATTAAATGACCAAATGAGATAAGGCACACATTAACTAGAGATGTGAAATATACATATCTTCCTAAGAGATTCCCTTAATTTAACAGCATATATTATCATATCTATCCAGTAATGTATGCATGTCATAAGCTCCCCTGCAAACGAGATGGCTTATTCATTTTGGTGGAGACCTGTGTGTGTACTCCTTTCTGCACATAGACCAACTGATAAGAACATGTACTTTATATGCAGATTGGAGCAAATCCCAAAATCTCCATGCTCAAGTTCTGCATGTGTTACCAGGTGTCCCCAAGGTCTTCCAGTTGAATAGAAGAAGCATTTTGCATCAGTCTTACAAATCAAGAAATTGCTTTTTGACTCATCTAGTACCATAGCTCAGTGGCAGAGCACTTGTTTTGCATGCAGAAGGTCTCAAGTTTAATTTTTGGACATCGTCTCTGCTTGAGAACCTGGAAGAGCCGTTGCCAGTCAAGTAGATGGTATGGGATTGGATAGATTAATAGCATGATTCAATAAACCAAGGATAGAGAACCTATGGCTAGCTAGATGTTACTAGACTCCAATTCCCATCAGACCCAACCAGCATGGCCAACGGTCAAGGGTGATGGAAACTGTAGTCCATGAACATCTGGAGGGCCAGAGGCTCCCTATTTCTGCAACAAAGCAACATAATATGGTTATTTCTTGAAATATGTGAGTTTCTTCTGAGAGCTGCTGGTGGTGAAGAATGTCAGACTGGAACTGGATATATCCAGGCTCATTTCTCTACTCAGCTCTAGGTGACAATGAGCCAGGGACCATATCTCAACCTGTCCTACCTCACAGAGTTGTTGTGAAGGTAAAAGAGGGGCATGAATTCTGTATCAAGCTCCTTGGATGAAAGATAGGATAATAAATAATAAAGAATAATAAAGAGTGACTGTTAGCTATGGAAGATAAATATCTGCAAGTGTAGGTAATTTTCTGGGTGATAACAAGGAAACCCAAATGGACTCAATTATTGGTTTATGACCAATGGTGTCCTGAATTTCGGAGTGCTTGGAATTTGGATTCTAGGTCTCTACATCACTCAATTCCAAGTAAGGCATTTGTGAAGATAGTCCTAGTATTTTCTTACTTTGAAAGGTAGGTTTTAAAGAAGTATCTTGTCTAATGATCTCTTAAAGTAACTATCTTCCTAAAAAGAAAGAGAGAGAGAGAGAGAGAGAGAGAGAGAAAAGGATCAAGATTACTTATTGCTTTAGGCTATGGCAGAGGATTGTCTCTTTATGGTAATTACTTCCTGCATAATGGTGTACTATTTTGTTTTGTAGATACAAGTGTTACTTTTTTGCTTCAAGAAGGAAAATTAAACATTATTTAGGCAGTGTTTCAGTAGGCACTGCTGTGTTCATTGAGAACATCATTGTGACAATTGAAATCACATCTTGAGGCTAATTTTTGTAACCAAATAAGGCTCTCTCTTTTTGGTAATAAAAGATTAAGGAGTATGTGTTTTAAACATCCTTTAATGATGTACAAGATGCTTGGAAAGACCAATGTTTGCAATCTCTGGTTGGATCAACTCTATTTTGCTCAAAGGTTTGTGGACTTTGAATACTGATGCTTTCCTGCTTCCCAGTACATTTGTTTTTAGGCTATTTTTATTTCACTTTAAAGGAATTTTAATAACTTTGTGTTGACAGCATAGACAGCTGGGGCTGAGAATTAAAGAAAAACTCACTTGCTGACTGAGGAAGGAAGTGACATCAATGAGCTTCTAAAGACAGCCCAGAGGGGAAATTGAATTTTGTGCATGTGGCCTGCCGTTTCACTGTATTTACAGGAATGCCTACAAATGCAAATGGGATCATTTATGGTATCTATCTCAAACATACCAAGAAATTGTAGAACTCTGGAAAGACTTCTCTGACAGTTTCATTTTGAAGGATTTGCAACAGGATCATTGGTCTAAGTCCTCATTATTAAGGGTAGTTTCCCCTAAGTATTTTGACTTGCACCATTATCTGAAACTATTATATTCTGGAAACTCAACCCATTTGTACCCATGTTCTTTTCCACCACAGTGGCAACATACAAAGTTTTGTGGTGTTGCAATAGTATAGAAAAAACGATGCCAAATTCTTAACACACAATTTGCTGCCCTAGCATACAAGCCTTTACACATTTCTACACAATCAGATAAACATTATCACAATTCTGTTTATCCACCTGCTTTACTACTCCTGCAAGCTCTGAGACAGCAATAGCAGTTTCTTAACATATCCCAACGTTATCACTAGGGAGGCTAGTCCTGAATGTCTTACTTGCACATTTGCTACTTTGCAGCCATTAGTTCTAATAACAAGCACCTTCTTCAATCTGAATGGCTCATCTACTGTTATTTGTATCTGTTGCATTTGCAACAGTGCTTTCACATTGTCTCTCAGGCACTTTTGCCTTCTCTAAATGTAGCAAACTCTAAAAATATAGGCTTGTCAAATGAATCTTTTCTCCTTGCAATCATTCTAGTTACTGCTCTTTGCACTTGCTCTCGTTGGAAAGCACATGCATATAGCACATAGTGAACTGACTAGCATTGAATGAATGATTTGCATTGTAGGCTTGACTTATGCTGGAAGGTTGGACCACAGAAATGTTTAATACCTCAACAGTGTAAAATTGGAGAATTGCTTCTTTGCTTAAGAAGCATGCAAGCTAGTAGATTAAATACCCCCCCCCATGAACCATTCCAATTTGACCAGATTTGAATATAGATATGTAAACAAAATTCAATAAAATATGGTAGAAGTATGCGTCCTCTCCCTATTTTTTAGAGTGCCTTATAGCTTCACCATATTTATTTTGTGCAAATTAAGCGACAGGGTATGATGAAAAGGTCCCGCCATGAATTAATTGCCTTTTCCTTAGTATTGCATAATCGTAGCAAGCTGTCACGGTGCCAACTCACCAGTTACCCTGGCAGCGTTAAACATAAAAAGGAACCCCAAGTTGAAACTGATTGAACCAAATGAAGGAAAGCTGGCCATTTCAGAGCCTTTGAATTCTCACAGCATTCTAGAGTCTTTCCCTGGCTAATTTTTGGTGATTACTTTTGATATGAAAACAGTTCTTTAATTGTCAGTCTCTAATAAGGATGCAGAGCTGTTCCTAGGAGGTTCAAAGGACCCTGGGAACATAAACATTTGCAAAAGTTAATGCAGCCAAATATCTTGTGCTGACCCACGTGTGCACATTCAGCTTCTGCCTAATGAAGTCATTACCGACAATGCCAACCAAACAAGATGTTCTCCTCAATTTGACAAAGGGACTCTCATGTGAAAAGAATTTGGGAGTACACATTCATTAATGTTTTTGTGAATAAAAAGGGGAAAGTGAAATTAGACTTCAATTCTGAGCCAAAATTTGCCTTAGCTCCTTTTCTAAGCACAGCAGTATGTGTAAGAGGTATACATACAAGAGGTATGTATAAATAAAGAGCTTGCATGGTGTAATGAGGAAGAGACTGAGCTATGAATCAGGAAGTCCCTGGTTTGAACTTTTGTCTCTGCCATGAACTCAGTAGGAGACTTTAGATAAGCAACCACTTCTTAGCCTCAGTCTATGTTTGATGGTAGATAATAGCAGTGATTTACAGGGTTGTAAAGATTGCAACGAGAAAATCCATGTAAAATGTTTTAAAGCACTATACAAGTGTTAATGATTCTTTTTCATTATTATTGCCACTATGCTTAAACATTTCATTATTTTAAATATCAGATTTTACTTTGCACTGGAAAGCTAAAACAGTAACCGCAAGTGTTCAGAAAACACAAGAACACTATACCTAATTTCCTAAATAAGAACCATATGGCTGCACACTAAGTCAGCCTGATGGAATAATTTGATTGTTATCAGGAATCAGCAGCTCATGGATTTCGTCATGTTTGCAACATGGAGGTTATGAATGTAGCTGTTCATTTCTTGGGAGAGGTAAACCCCTAGTTTTGCCATACCAATTCAGAAGAGCTGAAATCAAGCTTTACACGAATTTTAAAACATTTACTTGCTCTTTAACAGGCTGTAGAATGAAGTGTCAGGTCAATTCTTCTTCCTCTTTTTAAATATTGACTTCTTTGTAAAAGTTCCTGTGATGGGTGTGTCATGAAAATGGGTGGAATTATACCTGGTACGAAGTCATGTTATTTCCCCCCTGTAGTGGAACTTTTTCTTCTTCTCCTCCCTTGCACACACCAAAAATTTGTTCTAGGGTTCCCCCAGCCTCTGTAGCAGATTTGGGGGCAGTGTGCTTGTGTGTGTGAGTGTAAGCTCCATTGTACAAGTGGAAGTCATTCTGCTCACACAATTATTTAGTTGAATATGGCCCAATGGTTTCATGTTGCCACTCCTGTTCAAAGTCTATATCATCATCATCATCATCGACTTTTATTGCACAGTAATTGTCTCCTGCTGCTTCGATGCCAACCCCCCCCCCCATTTTTAACACAAAATAGCTCTACATAAGCTCAATCAGGGTCCATGTGGTGAACATGACCTCACAGTGCTTGGTAGCCAATCAAATTTGAATATGCAATGATGCCACTGAGAGTTAATGAAGTTCTCCCACTCCTCTCATTCTGAAGGGTGGGGGCAACAGAAGTAAAAGCAAATATGGAAGTTTGCTGCCCCAGCAAATCAGATTGGTAGTCCCATCTTGCCTTCCTGTGCTTGTGGTTTCATTACCTACCAGCACTTTAAGGCAATACTTTCCCCCCAATCCAGCTTGTGTAGTACAGGTGTCTCTGCACCTACGAACAATTGACAAAGCACTTAGTTGTGTATAGGTACCAGGAAATAATTAAATATTTCAATTCAAACTCGGAAATGGCGGGAGAGAGCTGGAGAATCCTCATGGCTCATGAGGAGACCCTCCCCAGACCCTGAAGAGAATGTCAGTGAGAGCGGAGAAAGCCCTGAAGAGACCAGAGGGGCAGTGGGGTTTTGTTTATGCTGCTCTGCCTCCCGGCTTAACAGCTGATGTGTGGAGTAGTGCAGTAGCAGCCCCTTTCCTGCATGTCCTCCAACCTCCTGCTGGCTCCAAAGCTTCAATTCTAGTTGTGGATACCGTATTTTTGGATACAGTATTTTTTGTATGGATGGAAGAGAGAGCGGCAGAGAGGGCATTTAAACACCCTTTAAATTGGTGCTCCCCACTTTATGCAATTTATGCACGTGGGGCCCATAACTTAACCTCAGTGTAAGTGGGGGGATGCCTGTACACTACATGTAGCACATTTGTTGGCAGCAGGGAAAAGACCAAAAACATGGATTCAAAGTGAAGCCTTATTGGAATGCTAATTCATTTCAAAAATAAAACCTGTCATGCTGCCAAGGTGGTTAAATGAGCAGCAGAATGGAAGAAAATTGCTCTTTCAGTTTACTAATGATGCTCAACTCTGGTTTATAGAAGCCTCCACAGCAGCAGCATCCTGCTCCCATGTGAACCTGTCCAGTGGTAGGCAAGGTGCCTCTTACTTTCAGAGATGAGAGGGATCATGCGAGGGAGAGGACTTTCTATCTGTGGAATGCCCTTCTCAGGGCTACTTATCATGCACCTCTTTTCATCGCATTTAAGTGTCAGGTAAAGACTGCTCTCTTTGCCCAGGCATTTAGTTGTGTTATGATCAATCTGACTTAGGCTTTTGCATTGTAATGTGGTCAGTTTTATTTTAATCTGGCTTCTGCATTTGTCTTTGGTGCCTGGTGAGCAATTTAGTCACAATAAGGAATATCAATAAAAATAACGAATATCCATAGAGAAAAAACAAAGGTCCAATGGAGGGATAGATTTGGCTGCTCTGAAAGGTGTGATTCAACATAAATACTTTGCTTGATCTATGTCCATGAAGATGAAAAGTGAAATGTTACAAAAAAACAGGGCTCTCTAAAACAGAATGTAAAACGCTTTCATCTTGTTTTATTATTAGAGTAAAATAAAGAAGCATACTCCAAATTATCTTATTTGTAGTGAAGCATGGCAGTAGCCAGAAAGTGGGAAGAAACCAGGCGAGGCCATCACCTTTAAATTCATTCCTAATGCATGAATTTAAATTATAATTATACTGATGTCACACAAAAACCTCCAAGTAATCAGTTGCTGCAGGGAGTTCATTTTACCTACATTTTCCATAGTTAGATTATGACCTTTCAAGGCTTCTACTTAGATCCAGCTGCATTTATTGGAAATAATTTGTTAAAGGTCATTCATGAATGGGAATACTGGTTTTATATATGCAAAAGATCAAGTTGGTACCGCTTTACACCCTAAAGTTGAAAAGGAATATAGAGGAAGATCATTATCACATCAGATTTGTGTGTTATTATTTAAAAAGAGGGGTGGGGGTGGGGGGAATATTCTAAAGACACAGTCATCTGCCCCAGTTGCAACAAAACATGTCTCTCCTATATCGGCCGCAGCAGGCACTGTAACTCTCCAATGGTTTGACATCACCTTAAAAGGCACACTCCTCCATTGTCACCCAAGACAGATGGATGCCAAAAACAAAGCTACAAGAATGAGGCAGGGGTGGAGATTCTGGGGTCCTTCACATTGTCGGACTCTAATTCCCATCAGCCCTGGCAAGCATGGCCAACCATCAGAGCTGATGCCCAGTAATATCTGGGTGCAGGGGGACCACAGACACTTCAAGAGAATTGAAGATTTTGGAGATGCTCAACTCTTTCTTCTCAGCTGCCAGTTAACATCCTACCCTTGCACTCTCAGGTCTGAAACAAGCTACTACTCCCTTTGTGGCTACCAATCACTTTCTTTTGTTTTCCAACAGCTTATCAATTAATGGAGTTCTCTTCTGATTGAACTAGTCCAGTTCAGGTAAACTTCGTCCCACTAAACTGGTCCCCAAACTTTATATCTTGATTCAGCTGCTAAAGGTTAGGCTGTAGAGCATGCACTTTGTGTGCAGGAAGTCCCAGGTTCCATTCCTAGCATCATCATGAAAAGAGCAGCAGAGCAAGGAAAGATTTCTTTTTTATGCCTTGAAGACCCACCACTAATAATAATAAATAATAGCCAATACCTAGTTCAATGAATATTTTGACTCACTATAAAGACTGCTTTATATGAACACCTTTTGGGTAAGAATTTGCCTTCCTTGCTGATGGGCTCTAGGACCAGAGATATTACAGCCAGTCTAAGCCAGAATCTAGGTTATTTGCAAATATTATCTAGGCTTTGGCCTGAACCCCCAGTCTCCAAGCTTTTTAAGTTGGAAATAGCAATCTCCTTGAAAGAAGTGGGCAGGAGTACTGTAGGTTGTGATCTACTAGTAGATCTCTGCATGATTTGACACAGATTTACAAGGACTCCCAACTGTTTAACAATGTTTAACAATGGCAACTACAAAATGACGGCCTTCTGCCAAATTATGTTGCTGAAATGAATACATTTTGGGGTAAGGAGGAATGATTTTGTGCGTGGAAGTAGTGTGATTTCAATTCCTGCATTCAGAATTCTTTAATTCTCTGTGTAGTATTTTTTTGAACTGGATTCTGGTTTGTGGATCTCAGAGTTCTAGGAAAAAAAGTAGATTCCACAAAACTGATGTTTGCTTTGTATTCTAAAATTCCACTGTATATTTTCAGGCAGTTGGTTCCCTTTGCACCTTGTATTGAACACATGCTTGAATGTCAATTTCTTTGGGCCCCCCTCCAGATGACACATTTATTGAGCATTCATCATGATTTGCTTGTGCAAAGTGTACACAGAGGTTAGATTATATCTGGTGTTTATTGAGTATTCATTCTGATTTGTTTTTGGTTCAATTACATGATTTGATTGCAGGTGATTTACATATCTTCCCATTAGCCATTTGTTCACTCTACACATTTCAATGCCTTTCCCCCTCATTTTTCAAATGGTAGAAAGTATGGGGTTTTGGTTTTTGAAGTGGATTTGCTGTGCTAGGGTGACAGAGAGCTTTAATCTACTTAAAATGAACAAACCCCAAGTTCTGGTGTGCACTTGAAGCCTCCCACAAAACACTAATAGTCTGGAGATGCCCTATATATATCCCCACCTTTCATCCCAGGGCCATCTCTAATGTGGAGATAAATGCAGATTATTAGTATATTCCATATATGACTCTTATTGTTATGTGTGGAAGTTATTAAAAATGTAGTATTGTAATTAGCCATCTGGCACATGATAACTTCAATTAGCCTGATGAACAGACTCCTTTTTGTTAATATATTGTGTCAATGGGATGTTTACAACTGCTGTTTTCAAGCATTTTCCCCCTTTGGTTTTCAAAGATAACTAGCTCCCAAGACCACAGAAAGAAGACAAACATCTTCGCTAATTGTGGCATGGTGCCATTATTGCATAATACAAGTAATATAATTGGGGGGTGGAGGAGCTGTACAAGCCTAAAGAGAGGCAAGACAGAGATGAATGTCAACACAAAAGTAAGCATATATATATATGACTGCATATGTCCTTGATATCGCACATTCTTGATGATTTGTGCTCATGATGCTATCAGGGCAAGTCATACATGACCCCACTTTCAATCCTGTTTTTGCTTGCTAAAGCTTTGTGGTGGTCACATTGCTTTCCAATCAGTTCATATCTAATAACTTCCTGCTGAAATCCTGTAGATTTTTATAACACAAATATTCTGATTTATTTCTATACCGCTTTTGTTGCTCTATAGCCTTTCCGGACAGCAATAATGTGGTAGCATTTTGGAAGCATCACCGAATGATTAACATAGCAGAATAAATCAATCACTAATGCACTATTCTTGTGGCATAAACATGTAGCAGAATATACCCAGAATAAAACTTCATTCCTAAAAGGCCATTAGGAATGCTTCTGAGTCATCCCTCTTCAAATTTCCCCTAGAATTAACGGTCCTGGTTTCTCTTGCATTGACCAAAAAATGTCACAGACATTTTCTTGTTTGGCTTTCAAGGATTTTATAAGTATGTGTTTTTAATAATCAATATTCTGCTTTTCTTCTCTATGAAAGTTAGAAGGACATAAATCTATAAACAGTAAAACAATACTGTATGAAGAATCAGAACAACAGAACAGCAACTCAAATATCAATAGCTGGATTTTAAGAAGGAAAGTTTTAATTGCCTTCTAAATGCTGTCTTTGAAGGAAACATTATTAGTCATCTGGGAGAGAGGGAGGTCTAGGGGAGGGAAGACATCAAAGAAAAGGCCCTCTCATGCACTGTCACCTTACCCTGCAAATTTAAACAACCACTCAGCATGCAAATATCAACCTAGCTAACTGCAGCAACATTGAAACCAAAATGAATCTCCTACTAATTTCACCCAATACAGTAAACTGGTTGTTATATGAAGAAAAACAGTCGTCGCTCATAAAAGTACTCAACTCCATTAAAGACAAAGCAACCTGCTCAGGAAAAAAGTTGACAACCTTTCTTTCCCAAAACAATCAAATAAACAAAGAATACAGCATGTTAAAATGACAGGTTACTAAGGGCTTTCCATATTCACTCAAACTTTAAAATGAATGGCAATCTTAATTGAATTGACTGCTGTAACTTTTACTTCAACAATGCCTAGATAAACACAGAATTTGAAACACCCAGTTTGAAAATAGTTCCAAGGGTGAAGAAATCTAATCAATGAGAAAATGTATTGTATCATTTTTTTGGGTTGAAGCACAAAATAATAATACTTGGTGCATATAGTTTTGACTATCCAAGCAATTCACATACCGGTACATTTTCAATGTAATCCTTACAAGAATGCGTATTTGTATTATAAGCTAGTCCATTTTCAGCCAGAGCAGCAGGTATTTGAGAAAAGGAAAGAACTATCAAGACAAGCATTGTTAAGTTTCCAGAGGAAAAGCCTTTTTCATCTTTTGCAGCAAAAACACTCTTGTGGAACCCAAAAAACCAACATACAGTATTAACTGTAAAGGGAGACTGCAACATGAAACTGTTGAATTGCAGTATGTCAAGGATTGCCAGCGCTATCATGTGCAGATTTTTAGCCTGGCATAGGTGTTAATTGGCTTACCAACGGCCAGAATGTCTGTGTCATCAAGAGTTCTGTGTGTGTGTGAATTGCTGCTATTAAGCACCTAATTAACACAGTACATTTATACATTTCATTTTTACTTGACCTCACTTTCTATCGTCTGTCTCTCCCTCCACTTAGGGGTGTGTGTGTGTGTGTGTGTGTGTGTGTGTGTGTGCCCCCACAACTCAGAATAACACTCCATGCATCTGATGAAATGGACTATGGTTCACAAAGCTTATGCCATAATAAATCTGTTAGGCCTTAAGGTGCTACAAAGCTCTTTATTGTTACAGTTGTGTCACTGCACAGATCAGGAGTGAAGTCTTTATAAATTAACACTTGTGTCTATTGCATAATTCAACATCCAAGTAGAGAGCATTAGAATCCCAACATGCCTTCCTTGCCCATGGTGACTGGCGGTGGCGGCGGCAGCAGCAGATCAGCAAAGTACAGCAAGCCACTCAGGGGTCTCTCAATTTACTTCTCCCCATAGTTTGAATAGCTTGGCCACAGGACAGAGTAGGAGAGGGTGGGGAGGAAATAATTTGGCAAGCTGGCCTCTGCGTGCCCATGCTAGGTAATGCAAACTAGTAGACACAAAAATAGCTCTCCACTGATGCCAGCAAAGATCCATATAAATTGTGAAATTTCATAGAAATCATACTGATATAGTGAGGGAAATAAATTAAGAAATTAAAAAATTGTGCAGTAGCACCTTAGAGACCAACTAAGTTAGTTCTGGGTATATAGTTGGTCTCCAAGGTTCTACTGGACAATTTTTTAATGTTTTTTTATTTATTTCATCTGCATCAGACCAAGGTGGCTACCTACCCAAATCTAGAATCATAGTGAGGGGCAACCCTGGAAGAATAAAGAGAAGCAATGCATTGTTTTGCTTCTAGTTTTAGATAACTGCTCATAATTCTATCAGCCATCAAAAATCTCTATGCACCTGTGGAAACAGAACACTTTTGCACAGCATGTACCCCTGTGCTGCATTCTCAGACACACTCCAAAATACCTTCCTGCATCAGAACCAGAAACAGTGACCTATGTTATAATTAAAGAAGTCTGGTTATGCACCAAGGATTAGCATGCAACTAGTGTTAGCACTACTGCCCTCTATGTTTCTGATGCAAATATTGAACAACAGTTTTTAACTAGTTCTTCTCTCCCAAAGGGACTTCTGGAACAGTGTTCTTTTCTTTGAAGTCTTCTCTGATTCTTTCCATTCAAACTACTACAAGAAACTTGTAGTTTTAGACTTTTCAGCTTTGCTAAAATGCATTCTTTATTGACTCTCTCTACTCTACAGTCATTACAGTTTCTTTTCTATACATTTCTCAGCTTAATTATGATAACTTTCTGCCCTCTGCTTTGACTCTTTTCGAATGCTAAACTAGATATGTTGCAAAACCTCCAATCTGATTTCCAACTTTTTTTTTTTACGGTTCAAAACAACTATTGTGGTCCAGATAAGAGCCATGACACCACTTCCCTAATTTATTCACCCATTGCATAGACTGACATAGCACAAAAAAAGGTTAATCCTCCTCTCCCCAAACACTATGGCCACAATTCAATTTGATATCCTCCATTTTTGGCTTGTTCTGTATCTGCAGTTTGCTTCCATTCTCCTTGGTTATGTCTCACTTCACAGGCCCCCACCTCCTTATCAGATGATTCAGATTCAGTTTTAAAAACAACAGAGTGACTTGGGCTGCAACAGAATGTTTCAGGCTGTGTTCCATGACCGATGGACTGCCTGTTGGTCACAATGTGGCAGCAGGCCTTCTTGGTGATACCATCACCGTCTGAAATGTCCTTCCTCAGGTGATTTGTGAAGTGGAAACAGTAAGCTTTCTTGGGCTCTGACTTTTAATGTTTTAATTTCTTATACTGCCCAGTTTTAGTTCTGATATCCAGTTGTGTTTGTGTTTCCCTTAAATCATTTTTATCTAGTTTTAAAGGAAAGTTTTACTGAATGTTGTTGCATTTTTATTGCTTTTATGGAAACTGCTTCGATATTTTTCTTATATGAAGTGGCACGATTTAAAAAAATTAAATCTTTCCTGCAAGTAAGCCCATTTGAGCACAATGGGACTTCTGCAAGGATACACACAGGGTTGCACTGTCTCTCTGTCTTCTTTTTAGATATTTTCCTTTCTCACTTGGCCTTCTTAATTTCTCTGCTCTTGATACTTTCCCTTGTCTAAACCTTCTATTCCACTCCTCCATCTTTTTCAGTCTTGCTTCCATTTCTGTGCAACTTGATGCCCCCCTCAATCTCTCTCTCTATGAAAGCATTTAAATGTATTTATTCCCCTAAGCCTTTAACACCTGCCTCTTCTCTTCTTTCCCCTTCCTTTTCAGATTGCAACCCTGTGGGCAGGGTTTGTTCTTATTAACCTAATTGTGTACAGTATCAGAGACACTTTTATACATAATAAATATATTTCTTAAATAGATCACTTTCCTTTCAAGTCAGCATTCTCAAAAAACATAAAAACTCACACCCGTCACTAAACAAGTGATGTGAATTGTGTTTTCTCAACACAGTATATCTGCGTAAGAGCGATGTCTGAATCACCCTTAATAACAGCACAATACCTTTGGTGATAATCAAATAGGTTTTACTCAGAGTAGACCTACTGAAATTAATGAACACTACTAAGCCAGCTCCATTAATTTCAGTGGGTTTACTCTGAGTAAATTTTATTGACTACTACCCTGTGTATGGACAGGAATGCCAACTTATATCAACTTCAAAACTCCTGGAGGTTAGTAGTTTTCATTTTAAAGTACCTCAACTGTTGAAATTAGATGCCATGTCCACAGCCTGCACATTGACAATATACAGGTAACTGTCCAGAGCTAATCTTGCAGAAAATCAACTGTACTGTATAGGGGTTGAACAAGATCACCCAGTTCACTTTCCCTTTTCTGTATGATGCTGCTTACATCTGAAGTTTAAAAGTACACATGAAACACATTTCTCTAAGTTAAGCTCAGTATTAACACATGAAATTTTTAGTTTTTCAGATGTAGAATTAAGCTCCCTACAGTGCTTCCTTTTTTTTTTTGCATGTAACATAAAAAGGGTTTCCTGATTTTTATAATGATGATATGTGCATCTCAAATGAAGTTACCTTAGATTAAATTTAACTGACTATGTTGATTAACACTGTTAACCAGTTTTTCAATGGGTCCAGGAAGAAAGCAGCTCTTGCAAGCATCACTTCCTTTTTAGTTGTACCAGGTATCATTTCAAAATGCAGTGAACGGAGTTTTCATACAGGGGAACCTTATATTGAAATAAGTGCTGCATTTCCAAGGAACAAGTTAACAAAGATGATTCTGTGTGGTGAAGTGCCCTCTAGTGACAAAATGAAAATCAGGAAAATAAGTTTTGCAAGAAATAACCTCCTATTGGTTTTCTGTTTTTAAAAAATCAGTCTGAAAGTTTTTACCCTTATCCATCATATTAATAAATTTAATGTCATGTTTTATTGTATTTTATTACATTGTGGATTTTAAATAGTTGTAAGCTACCCTGAATTATGCCTAGTGACTAGAAAGGCAGGATAGAAATATCTCTATAAAGAAAACAAAATAGTTAATAAAAATAAGAATTTCAGTTATAATATTTTGTAGTTGCTAGAACTTAAAATAATAAAGCAATGGTGTCAAATCAGTTGCAGCAATGGCTTACCTTTACAATCAAGAACTGTATGTGGTCACTCAAGCCCCTTTCCCAAAGTCCTCTGGCATGTGCACGGGTCTTGGGAGAAGGATTCATTTTATGCTGGGGTAGAAAATATGTTGAAGCTGTGAGGATTCCCCATCACTGCTTGTTTCTCCCAGGCTAGCTTGAAGTGAAAATCTAGTGCCTGCCCAAGGCTTTCTGCAAGTGCCACGGAGGTCTGTAAGGAGTGGTAAATGTCTCTGCTTCTGTCATTCGTTGGGAAACTCAGCCCCTTCCAAGTCATGTGTGGAAGGAAGCTCATCCACTAACACAGTCACCAGGAAGGGATTCCTGGCTGGGTTCATGACCAAATGGCTGCATTTTGTGGAACATTGATAAGCAGTGCCTTTAGAAAGGGACACAAAGCACCCACAAACTCCAAGCAGTATGCCTAACGCAAGTAGTCATACATTGGCAGGGTTGTCTTTATGAAAATTATGAAGCTCTTTTTGATGGGAAGAGAGGAAGAGACAACATCAGTGGGGAACTGTGGCAAGTGGAATAGCACAAGGAGATCATAGATGAAGGAACTGATTCTTACACACCCATTCTCAGAAAGTGCCTGGTTAACGGATAGCAGAGTCACATTCATCTTCTCTCTCCCATATGCACACTTTCTGCCAGCAGCAATTAAAAGATCACAACTGAGAAGAAAATGCAAGAAGATGGGGTGTTGGAGGGGGAGGGAAGAAAACCAAACCAAACAATGCAAGTTTCCAGATGGGGTAATGGGTATTTAAATAACAGTGCACAGGCCTATGACACAAGTTTGCACATGCCAGCTGATATACACAGAGGCCTCTAATCAAATAAAGGTGATGGGTGGCTAAGAGTGTTTCACCAGCATTTTACTTTGAAGTGCACCAAACCATTCCATAAGCATAGTTTAAAAACTTTTTGAAAAGGAGAGGCAAAAGGGAAAAGGATCTGGGACCCATCACAAAAGATTGAGGGCTTGGGTTCCCTGGACCAATGTCCTGGACTAGTTGGATGCAGAAGAATGGTGGGAGGCACCAGCTGGGGTACCCCCAAGGAAAGAAAGCTCAGAGCCAGGGGATTGGTGGTGGGATCACAATGAGTGATCAGTGCTCCAGTGCTTGCAACTGCCTCATTGGGGCAAGACTTGCTGGGAAGAGTTGCTCTGTCCAGTAGGCCTGAGCCATTTCATTTCTTTGAATAAAGAGTTAACTTCACTGACACCTTGTAAGTTCTTCTTGACCTGCTCCCAACTCCCACCTTGACAGTCAACAGCTAACAATGCATCCAAGTGTTATTCAGCTTAGGGTGTTTAAGATATCTTAGTCTACTACTAGGAACAGAACAACTACAGGCAAGAGCAAATTCTGTCTTGAGGTCCCCATAGGAACAAATGTCTCCTTAATACATGTAAGGTCCAAGTACTTTTATGGCTTTCAACCTTATGTAAACATTCAGAAAAGGAGGTAAAGATCTATGGTGGTTTAGGGATGGGCATTTTAAGTTGCAGCTATGGAATAATCTTCCCTCAAGATGACTGCTCTGAGTTTTCCTTTTCTTTTGAATTTTAGAAAACTGGCGAATTACTTTACTTATTCTCTAGAACATCATGTCTATGTCTTAAGAACTTCAGCTGAGGATCTTCGTTATGTACCTTCACTAGGGCTCCTATATGGCAAGAACAGAAGAGAGCATTCTCTGACATGGCACCCCAATTGTAGATTACCCTTCCTTGTAGAGGCTGGTGCTGACTTTACAATCTCTTTGGTGCCAGTTCAAAATTTTTAATCTGTTTGGAGATTTTATGTTGTTTGTGTTGACTAGTCTGTTCTATTATTTTAGTTACCTATACATTGTTTATATGAAAGTTTTTTGTTCTACTGTATTATTATGTTTTAGTGTGATTAATTTTAATCATGCTGATTGTATACTGCAACAATAAAGGGCAGTCTAAAAGTTTAATTAATGAACAAAAATAAATAACCTGCCTTTCAGGACATACTGCCCTCATAAGGTGGTTTACTAATACATAGTGGCACCAAACCATAGTTTGCTGTTAGATGTCAGCCAGGCAAATTATGGTCTGAGAAACAATATAGCTTGTTTCTAAATCATTTAAGAATGTGTAACTGTAACAAAACTGAGTTTTTATTTGTTTATGCACAGGTATCTTTTTCATCCTACTGCTACTTGTTTCTGCACTATGATTATTTTTATGTAACAAAAATAGCTATCAAAAATTTCCATACTTCAGAAGTCAACTTTTGCTCTGAAACTGAATAAAATATTATCATTATCAGCAGAAGACTATTCTGATGCTTTTTATTACAAAATTTATTTGGTCCACATTTCCTATTTTGATGCATTATAGCCAATCTTTTTATGCATTATAGCCAACATTGTCATGACTTATAAATACCAGCAAGGGGAGTAGTTACACTTTAGGAAGCTCTCTCTATGTTTAGCTGAGGAAAATTATGAGGAAATAATAAATACATTGGTGTTGGCATTTATAAACAATGGAAAGGACAGAATTATTATGTCCCACCCCAACACAAAACCTGATCCTTTAATGACTATACCTGAACAAGAAGAAAAAACACAAAGGAAGCAGACATGCATCATTACAGAAACACATTTAAAATAGCAAAGCATGTTAAAAGGAAGGAAACAGGGGGTGGGGGAACGGGACATCATGTCATTCCAGCACCCCCCTATGAGCCATAAACTCAGAAGACACACTTTCTAGTTTCCTAAATGAATAACTCTGTAGCTGAGGTGCTATAATCTCCCATTCCTTTTGGGTAAAAAACTATGGCTGTTTATTCACACACACACACACACACATTCCCTAGTTTTTCTTCTTAATCATGTATATATATTGTCTTGAATTGTTTAATTTTATTAAATTCACATAGCAATCCTTCTGAAATCGGAATGACTATTACTACTCCATTGTCTAGAAGGATATCTGAGGTTTACTGAAAAACTTGACTTTTCCAAGGGCACCTATAGCAAAGCTTGGGACTTTCAACATCAGCCCCATTGCAACATCATGGCCATCACCTTTTTACCACCTAGATGAAGTTAGCCAACACTTTTATAGATCTTCTTCAAAGACCTCTTCTTCTTCAAAAAAGTAGACCTGTCCCTTTGAAATCTCAGATAACTTCTTCAACTGGAAGAAGCAGAAGTTGAATGGACCTCCACAGCATTGATGTTATCTCTAATTCTCTTTCACAAGAAGGATTTGACCAGAGACTATGTGATCGTTCATGCTGCCTTATCCCACTTCAATTATAGTTGAGAAATACTGTGAGAAAGACTGTGTCTTTCACAGGAAAGGGAGAATCTTCAGATTTGCTTCACCAAGGGGCCTGGCTGCCTAACTTGTCAAGCTGTTGAAACAAGGGAGGCTGGGGAAAGTGTGCCATTTTTGCCTGTTGCTTTGCGGTACAATGCTGAAATCTGGCAGCAATTGATGTTCAGAGCCTCTCCCATCTCCTTCACTGTAAAGCCTGAAGGGAAGTAAAGGTGGCAGCCTGATTGGCAGCTTGGCTGTGGAGTTCCAGGTATTCAAAATTATTCACTGAAGGCCGAAGACTTGTGTCAAAAGTTGCACAAGACAAAAAACTCACAAACTCTATTATTCAGAAACCCACTTAATGTTGTACTTTATCACAAAGCCATGTGACCTCCTGTCAAGGAGTGAGCTGATATACTTAACTGTCATTCAAACATGGCAATGTTGCGACTTTTGAATTCCATGGAAGACTGGCACAGAGTATTCAACGTAAGGACGGGCTAACTTAATCACCTAAGCAAAATCATGAGAAATTACCTAACATTTAAATATCCAGTTAAATGGGGGGGGGGGTGTTAATATAAAAAACCCAGGAATTTCTTTGGGAAGAAATTCAGCTGGAAGCAAATCAGTGCACTGAGCATCCCAAACTGAATTCCACTGGGAAATGAATGTATCAAGCGAACAATTTGAATTAACATGGTGGTGGATGAGGTTTTGTTTTACAGTTCTGTGGGCCAATTCATGTAATGCAAGATCTACTTCACAACACATTTTCCTCACCAAAAGAAAATGTATCTTGCATTACTGAATATACAAGAGCCAACATGTCTCCAGGACTAGCCAAATTCAGTTTTTGTGAAAACTGGCTGTGGTCATTTTGATGGTTTTCATGTGGCTAGAACATTTTCCAGCATGTAATGTGAACACAACTGGCTACTTGTATTGTACTTTGGGACTTATTTTTGTCACATATATCAGAAATCCTCCTTACTTTCCTGCAGTTTGTCTTATATTAAGACTTCAGCTTCATGTGGAAACTACTGATGTAAATACAAGGCAAATAGTGGGGTATACTACACACACACACACACACACACACACACACACATTTATATAAAGAAAAAAGCCACAGTAACAATCTTCAATATACTTAAACAGAAACAGAAGTGATGGATGTAGTATGACTTAAATATGGAATACATCTGGTATGCAGGCTTTCCCATTCCAGAAGGGTGTGTGGTGACTTCTCATTGATATATTCTGTTTTAGTCTGTTCTTTTGCTGGTCTAAGCTGATGGATTAACTGATGTGTTAGCTGATAGTTATACTGTTCAACCTGCTAAACACAACCCAGTACATGTGCTGAGGAGCACAAAAACGACTGACACCTTTTAATTCAAAAATCTAACTAAAAGATTAAAAACTGCGAGAATTTTTCCATTTAGATAGACAAAACTATCAGTAGGGAATTTCTCTTGGTATGCACTGAGAAGGCTTGAAATGTGATGGAGGATTGCTGGGGAAAAGAGAAGTAACTGCGTTTTGAAAGAGTCAGGCATTTTTTCTCAGGCCTCACCTCACATGCTATTCCTCACTCACTAACACTCACACTTATGTGAATCATACAGGCAATCACGTAAGTCATACTAGGACTGGGCTTATAAATCTCATGTGAGAAGCAAAGGACTGTAGAAATGAAGGACTGAAGCTGACCATTAACTCAAATAACCACCGTAAATAGTGAAAACAAGAAGAAGCTGGAGTAGGGAAACAGATTTTTTAGACATGTTAAAGAATTGTAATGGTATTATATTTCTATTTTTCACATGCAATGTAACTCATGTATTATAATAAAAAAGAAGAGAGAAAATAGTCTAATATGTGGAATTCTGAGAAAGTGCTATAGGTGCCAGTCACAAAATGGCTGACATATAGTGTGTCATAAAACAAAATGACTGCCACATCCAAAAGAGTAGAAAAAGATATAGGATCATAAAATAGTGCAGACCGTAGCTGTCAACTTTTCTCTTTTCTTGTGAGGAATCCTATTCAGAATAAGGGAATTTCCCTTTAAAAAAAGGAAAACGTTGACAGCTATGGTGCAGACATATCCCCCATTAAAGAAAAAAGGCAACTACATCAGCCACCACCACACTAATTCACAGAAAGAAGTTATTTCACCTCTTCTCAGTGCGGAAGGAATAGTGAGTGTCCAATCTGAGCACCCAATGAAATATGGGCATTGTGAATTTTTGAGATGTTTACCAAGACCTTTTGCAGGCACTATAAGAGGTACTGACAGAAGCACTGGGACCAACAGGTGCTGTGTTAGTGATCCTGAAACAGAGGTGGGCATTGTAAAATGAAATCAATAACAATTTTTTAAATTATGTCCAGAACGCCTTGAAATATTATAACTAGAGAAGCAACTATGCTTCTCTATTACAAATAGATAGCAGAGTTTAAACTTCTGATGAACTTTTGGTGTCATCATGTGCATGTGCATTGCCCTCATATTACTTCTAATGGCATGTCAAAGCATTTTTCAATGACCTTTTTTCAAAAGGACATCTATTTCCAGCTGTTCTGTTGGTGCTGATGTGAGAACAAAAGGTACCTTTGTTACTTAAACATTAAAATCTTGTTTAGTGCTTTTCAGCCTAACATGCTCCAATCAATTTCGACCCCTCTCTCCACTTATTAACAGTTGGGTGTTTTTGCTCTGTTGCAGAAAATCTGGCTCAAAACTGGCCTCAGACTTAATACTGCATATACATGCTCTTGTACAGTGACTCTGTACACTTAACCCAGCATATTTTGTTTTGTTTTGAAGGAAGGAAAAACACTTAAATACAAGGAGTGAAATAATTGTGCCTGTAGTCAATTGGACATTTGATTATTATTTTTTGGATTGGATTATTTTAAATGCAAATTAAGAATTTTAAAAATAAACTATGAACACTATACAAACATAAAGGTAAAGGGACCCCTGACCATTAGGTCCAGTCGTGACCGACTCTGGGGTTGCGGCACGCATCTCGCTTTATTGGCCGAGGGAGCCGGTGTACAGCTTCCGGGTCATGTGGCCAGCATAACTAAGCTGCTTCTGGTGAACCAGAGCAGTGCATGGAAACGTCGTTTACCTTCCCGCCGGAGTGGTACCTATTTATCTACTTGCACTTTGACATGCTTTTGAACTGCTTGGTTGGCAGGAGCAGGGACTGAGCAACGGGAGCTCACCCTGTCGTGGGGATTCGAACCGTCTGATCGACAAGTCGTAGGTTCTGTGGTTTAACCCACAGCGCCACCCGCGTCCCCTATACAAACATACTACATACTTATTAAAACTGAATCATGAGAGTCTATCAAGCACTGTCAAACCATTATTCATCATGATGGGAATGAGCTATGCCTTCCTTCAGGGGTCATGTGCTCCCCTGCCCTGCCTCTCCTCTTCCAGCATGGCTGTGAGAAGTTTAGAAGCTTTCACTTACAATTTAACAGAGTTTAGCATTACTCAGAAACTCTGGCTACTCTTAGCTATGTTTTGTTGAAAGAATCCAGGTGCTCCCTCACTACTGCTTTTCCTATATTGGGCTGCAGCTCCCTCTCTGCATCATTTATTTTATTGTCACCAAGTTGGGGGCAATGATGGTTTCCATCCATTTTATTAGCCATTTCTAAGTCTATCCGATATATAGATATATCCCTGTATCCTGAGTTAACATAAAACACTGAAAAAAGTTTTGCTAATGCTTTTATGTATGATTTTTAAGCACACGCACACAGCTAGTTGTCCATGTTTCAAATCTGCAAGGTGCTTGGCAATGTATTGCTTTTCTTTTCCTCCATTTTGTAGACAGGTGCTAAACATACTGTTTGTTTCCTCATTTATCACACTAATGAAGATGTTAATTGCTCATTTAAAACCTGGACCCAAGGATGATCTCTGTGCCACAAGATTATCTTTCCCCAACCCAGTTTGTTCATTATCATTTGTCACTGTCATTTCAGCCCTTCAACTAATTTACTGTTTGTATCTCTCTCTTCCTATCTAAGTCAATCTGAATGGATCCTTCAGGTCATATTTCATGCAATTATATTAAATGTATTGTTGCATGCCACCCCAATCTTTGAGTGGTGCAAGATTGCAGGGGTCCCAGGGTTCAGTTTCCTTGGAATGAGGGCAGCAGAGATTGTGGTGCCTTTATTTACACATACGTACAACCTGAGCCGAAGATCGACAGCATCAACACCCCAGAAGGTCTTGCTTCTCCCATGCTTCTGCTTGGGATTCCAGCAGAAATCAAGCATGGCTCTGAACTTTCTGGCTCCTGCCTGCAGCCTGCTTCTACTGAGGTAGGTTAGGGCTTTGTAACTGTTATCTCTATGGGATCTTCCATATGGTCAGATTTGCTAGGGCAGTAATGTTTATAATCTCCTCTTCTCTGGCAGCTTTACTTTTGAAGACAAAACAAATGCAAGAGGGCATACAACCTTGTTTGGAAAATTCCATGAGCTCCTAAAAATGCACCTTCTCTTCCTTCACAAAATTAACCCAGAACCAAATTTGTATCATACTAATGAGACACCCCCTCAAGTAACCCATGAAGAACAGACACAGTCAATTTCAAGTGCCTTTGGTGGAATCCCCACAAAGATGCATGGGAGCTTTTCATGTGTTTCCATGAGGCATAATGGAAAATTATGCCTTAGGCTAGGTAAATACAGGCAAGTCTCCAATCCTATGAGGAGCTACATTGCTAGAGTTACCAATTACAGGATCAACCCCTGAAAGCAAGTTTTAGTTCCTTAGCTGGCATAGAATACGCTTTAATTTTATAAATACTTTCCTCTTCTTTGTGAATCTTTACTTCTGTGAAACTATTTGCTGCTCCTATTACGCTATTGAGTTGTTGCACCCTACCCAAATCTCTGAGTAGTGTAAGACTGCCAGGGTTCCCGGCACTTACCCAGAGGTCGGTTTCATTAGAATGCAGGACAGCAAACAACACTGTGGTGCTTTTGTAATATATGGCTTTTTACACATATATACAACTTGAACCTATGATGGAGGAGCTCACAGCATTAACACCCCAGAAGGTTTTGCTTCTCCCATAATCATAGGCTTGGAGTCAAACAAAAATCAGGCATGGCTCTCACTGTCTGGCTTCTGCCTGCTTCTAGCCCAGCTCTCACACACTCTACTCTGGCTATTATCCTTCTGACTACCAGCCAGGTAAGGGAGGGGGCCCATCCACTTGTCCTCTGGCACACAGCAATTTCCTTTGTCAGACTAATGAAATGCTTAGGACTCTTACCAAGAAACTGGCCTGGCTACTTCAGCAATTGAATTTCCCAAACTCACAACAGTACACTTATTTTTCTGGCTTATCATTCTAAAATGCAAGTATTCGTGAAAACTCTTATATAAATTACATTGCAAGAACAAAACAAATATCTCTGCAAGTAAAATGGTATGAATAGCCTAACCCCCATAATTGAGCCTAGAATAGTATTAATATTCAGAACACACACTGTAAACCCTCTCCCAACTATCTATATTTTTCTGAAATCAGATGAGCAAAACGAAAACAAAAAACCAGACTAAATTCTGCCACATTATTCATACATGCTTCTGTACTTTGACATAAAGTAGCTGAAGCCTACAAAATGCTATTTGAGGAGTTGTTGGAACTATTTTTTGTATATATTTTTCGAATAATAAAGACAGATCAGCAGCCTGAAAAATGTTATTGCCCACAGGCCTGGAACAATGTGAATTCTTTGTCAGGCAATGCAACATTGCTTCTCAGATAACCAAGGGACAACAAAGATTAAGATCTGAATGTTACAGAGCTGAATGCTTAACAGATGAGTTTGGCAAGTGAGTTCCAGATCAAAGAGCCATTACAGCTTTTCAGTCCTTCAGCAAAGAGCAGCAATAGAAATATAATGTCCTCTTGTACAAGTTAACACAGTGATCAGGGTCTGTATTATCATTATCAATCCAAACTGCTGATGGGAAATGCTCACCTGAGGGATTATTCAGACTTCCTTTTGCACTGTGCTTTCTAGGCACATGCCCACACATTCCAGGTCTAGGCCTATCCAAGCAGTACTTTTTTGTCCCACTGCTTTCAACAGGAAAACCCACTGTTTCCCACTGAATCAGAACAAGCAGCAATTGGGGATTGTAACACTTGCAATTTGTTCCAATTCAACAGTAACAGTGGGTTTCCCCAGGGAAAGTGGCAGGATGGGGGGGGGGGGGGCAGGGGCGGGAACCCACTTAGACACAACCCTGCAAAGTCCAGTGCAAAAGGAAGTATAATAGCAGAGTTATGGGCAGAGGAAAGTATGGCATCAAGGGATGGGAAGGAAAGAAGAAGGAGTAGCAACTCTTTGAAGGCTATGTCCTTTTATGGACCTTTCACCAGCCAACAAATTTTGGGTTGACATGACAGCCTACTGTACTGTACATGAAACTCCTGGGCAAGATAAAGCAACCAGCAAATAACCACCACCACAACCTTCTTGATGGTAGTGCTGCTGTTGAATGTGTGTCATCCCCTAATAAAAAAGCACTCATCTACAATTTGATCATGGTTCATAGAATTGTAGATACCCCTTGCAATGCAGGAATCTTAACTCGAGCATCCATGACAGATGGCCACCCAACCTCTCCTTAAAAACCTCCAAAGAAGGAGAGACCACCATGACGCATGGGAGTCCATTCCACTGTCGAGTAGCTCTTACGCCTGATGTTAGTCAGAATCTTTTCCAGGCTACCCAATTCCCTCAACATAAGAGCCCTGCTGGATCTAAACCAGCTTCCTATCCTCATAGAGTGCTTCTGGGAAGTCTGCAAGCAGGAGCTGACTACAACAGCACTCTTTTGACTTGTGATTCCCAGCAACTGTTATCCATACCTAAGAAGAACCTGGCTGATGGACCAGAGCAAAGGGGGTCCATCTAGTCTAGCATTCTGTTCTCAGAGTGGCCAACCAGATGCCCCAATGGGAAGCCCACAAGCAGGAAAGGAACACTCCTCACTTGTGATTCCCAGCAACTGGTATTCAGAGTCACAAATCAGAATTTCTATAACTACTTTCAGTGGTACCTCGGGTTACAGACACTTCAGGTTACAGATGCTTCAGGTTACAGACTCTGCTAACCCAGAAATAGTACCTCAGGTTAAGAACTTTGCTTCAGGATGAGAACAGAAATCACGTGGCAGCGGGAGGCCCCTTTAGCTATAGTGGTACCTCAGGTTAAGAACAGTTTCAGGTTAAGAACAGACCTCCAGAATGAATTAAGTTCTTAACCTGAGGTACCACTGTATTTACAATAACTAAAATTAAGAATAGGAATTATCAAATTCTTCCATAATTCAAAGAGAACACAATTTATTACAATTAATCACTTAAAATCTTCCTTGCTTTCATTTTGGCAAAAGTATCAATTACATATCAAGGGATTTGGTTAGCAAGAGGGTGTTCCAGAGCACTGTTTAGTCCCTGCTGTGTTGATTGAGTTTCAGTTAGTAAAGCTCAAGAATGTGGACAAGGTGCTTGGATTGGTCAGGGCAACCACTTGCACCCTGGACCCTTGCCCCTCTTCACTGACCAAAACTAGCAGGGAGGGTAAAGCTGCCTGGGCCAGGGAGGTGAAATATGAATGATTCTCCCCCCACCCCACCCAAGATGTGGGGTGTGGGGGACAAAGTAGAACATAGTAGCAAAATTTCTGAGTAAGTGAAAATCTGCTGTGCACACTGTCAACAGTTAACCTCACATGATATAACTCCACCCTACTCCTAAAAAACTTTTGCAAATGAAGAGTAATAAATTGAAAGTGCCGCTTTGACATTGAACAGTAACTAAACAGTTCCCTGCTTGTTCCACACAGGCGAGAGGACAGTATAATTAAACAGTTCATAAAAATGGATTTGACAGCAGCTGATCTATAGTCTTTGGTGTACACATTGTGCCTCTGAACTGGAATGGTTTTATTTCTGCTCTAGTTATAAAGGTTGATAAAAACATCCAGGCTTTAAAAATAATAAACTGCTTGAGAAAAAATTCTGGTTAATGATCCTTGCACTTGATTATCAAATTCCCTAAACCCTGATAAGGACACCTCAAATACTGACTAGGTTGTGAGATATCCCTCAATACAAAATAATTGTATCCTTTATTCTGGGTGGGAGGGAAAGGAGAACACAGACACAACTTGGCTCCATAGTACAAGAAATACATTTTTTCATTATTTCAGAGCCCTTCTGGTCTAATGAACTAACAATGCAGCCTTGTGCGGTATTTCAATTTTAATTATGTCAATGTTCTGGCAAGCTTAAAAGCTGAAGTTTAAATAAAACATTGAAAAGGAGTAAAACAATCAAGAGTGCCTTTACCAAAAATCCCATAATTTTATACATAACTAAACTATGTCTATTTTGCCACTGGCGAGAGCTTTACAATACTTCTTCAAATTCCAGTCTTGTGCTAAATGGGTTTTTCTGAGTGAAATCCTGCTGCCTGATTGAAAAAAGAAAAAAGGTACAAATACGATACAAAAAAACTCCCTATGTTGACACATTGGATTGCACTGAAAGTGCGGCCCATCTGCCAGGCTCAGCATCTGAACAGCATACTGTTTGCAGGGCTTAAGACACAATGAGTGCAACTGATTGTTGAAGAAAGGCCTACAAAAAGATACAAGAGGAGGCAATTATCTATGAGGATCTCCATCTTCTGAACACCTCCTTGTACTGAAAACATAAAAATGTTCCTCAAAGGCAGCACTACAGTTGTTTTATGAAAACACTAACCGTTAATTAAATGACACAGTATTCATTTCCACTATTAAGCACTAAGTAGTTCTGAGAGATCTTTTGATAAATAGGAAAGTGTGTCAACAGTACAGTGAACCTGGGACTGTGTATCACTACCATTGAACACAGGCCAAGAGAAAGAGAAAGATCAACAGAAAGTCATGCAAGAAGCCCTTTAGCACTGATTGGGCCAAGGCCTGGAATCTATAAAAGCCTCGAGATCAGGCCTTGGTTTCTTTCATCAGTACCAAAGGGATACTTGGGTTGCTCTGTTACTCTGCCACAAAATCTCCCCTTCAGAGAGGAGCCATAGTTCAGTGGCGAAGTGCATGATTTATGAAGCACAGGTTTTGTCCCTGGTATGTTCCAGTAGGGCTGGGGAAGACCGATGCTTGAAATCCTGGAGGTAGCAACCAATCAGTGTAGTCAATACTGAGCTAGACAGACCAATGAAGAAAGTACTTCTTCACACAGTGCATAGTTAAGCTATGGATCTTGCTCCCATAAGAGACAGGTGGATTTAAAAGAGGATTCAACAAATTAATGAAGGGGAGGGCTGTTGTTGGCTCTGCTTCCAGTTGAAGGCAGAAATGCTTATGAATACCAGTTGCTGAAAAGGGGAGAGTGATTTTGTGCTCAAACCCTGCTAGCAGGTTTCCCATAGGCAAGTGGTGGGCCACTTTGAGAACAGGATGCTAGACTAGATGGGCCATTGGTTCAATCCAGCAGGCACTTCTTATCTGACTCAGTATTTAAAGCAGCTTCCTAGGTTCTTAGTATTGCACTTTCCCTGCCATGACTGGGTAACAATTCAGATGAAAGTGAACGCACGTGTACACACACAGCTGTTCATTACAGTGGTGCCCCGCAAGACGAATGCCTCGCAAGACGAAAAACTCACTAGACGAAAGAGTTTTCCATTTTTTGAGTCATTCCGCAAGACGAATTTCCCTATGGGCTTGCTTCACAAAACGAAACGTCTTGCGAGTTCTTGCGAGTTTGTTTCCTTTTTCTTAAAGCCGCTAAGCCGTTAATAGCCGCTAAGCCGTTAATAGCCGCTAAGCCGTTAATAGCTGCTAAGCCGCTAATAGCCGCTAAGCCACTAAGCCGCTAATAGTCATGCTTCGCAAGACGAAAAAACCGCAAGACGAAGAGACTCGCAGAATGGATTAATTTCGTCTTGCGAGGCACCACTGTACTTGTAGAAAAGTCTTTGCCCATCCTATTTTCCTCTTTCATATATATTTCTATAAATGACCCTCTATTTATGTTTCTATATAAAACCCTCACTCCTAGGTGTTTATTGCAAGCTTCTCTGGAAGACCAAATCGGATGCTTCTTCCCTGATCGTTAATCAATCTTTCACTAGCCAATTCAGAATTTGCTTTTGCTTTCAAACATTTATTTATCCACATTTACCTGAGAGGTATGATTAATCATAGTCTGTTGCTAGGATACAGATGAAAGTTCATTTAAGCTTAATGTTTCCCTTTGTAAAATAATGCCACAAGGAATACACAGGTTGGTGGCAAGGAAATGACCTTGTATAAATGACATTTAAAACCAACCCCTAAACCTAAAGAAATCTGAAAAGAGTATGGGTGCACGGGGAAAAATAAGATTGGATGTTTAGCTTGCAGAGCACAGCTTCACTTGGAAATTAGATTTTATGAAAAAGTACCATATAGTATGATATTGGGGGGAAATTTACAGTTCTTAAAAATAAGTATTAGGTAGAAAGGAAAGCATTTGATAAAACTACATTATTTAAAATTTATCTACAATGGGTTTGGGCCAAGATTCAATGAAATGCATGAGGATGTATTTTTCCATTTATTTTCCATGTTTAGGGCATAAAACTATATGCCACATGGATCTGCAAAAGCTAATATGATGGGACAGTTCTCTGTCTTCTTTTCCACACATGGAGAATACTTGGAAAAGAAGGCAGGGAGGCAAAGACAACATTAGGGTCTTCTCTAGTTAAGACTATCCACTTTCCACTTTCCACTTGGCAGGGCCAATGAACATCTACTGTTTCCACAAATATTTAATGGTATACAGTTGAAAAGTATGGCTCAGCATCAAATGGAATGATGCATTCTTCTAATATAGTTTACTGCTTTTGAAGCAGCATACAGGATGAAGTGTGGGCAATTGTTGTGGAGGAGGCGAAAACAAAGTATTGTTACCTATAATTCATCCAATCAAGATTGTGTGTGGTTAGTTCTACCAATTTGCAAGGCTCAACTGCCACATTAGAGGAGGCTGGCACATGATAGGCTCTGTTGCCCGTATAACACATATAGAGAACTGTAACATGCTGCCCTTATCTCCTTTAGGAACAAGGGTGAGATAGACCTTTTAATAAGGAATTAAACAAACATCTAATGAAGACAACCCCAGGTTCCCAGCTGCCATACCAAAGGCAGCCCCACATAGAGTGCATTACAGTGATCCAATCTTGAGGTTATCTACACATGGGTCACTGTAGTCAGGCTATCCCTGCACCAGCCACAGCTTGGAAAAGATGTTCCTTGCCACTTCGTGCAACCAGCACAAGAGATGGATCCAGGATCACCACCAGACTGTGTACCACCTACTCGTTCAGAGATAATGCAGCCCCATCTAAAACAGGCAGCCTACTCAATTCCTAGTCCCGGCCTTTATCTTTTCAAGAATCAGCTTCAGCTTATTGGCCCTCATCCAAATCACCAGTATGTCCAAGCACTAGTCCAATCACTGCATAACTGCACCTGATTAAGATGTTAGAGAAATGGAGCTGAATGTCACCTTCTCCAGATCCTCTAATGACCACTCTAAGGGATTTAAAATAAGGTTAGACAAATGCATGGATGATATCAATGACTACATCACGGTAGTGCAAAACCATCAGTATCAGAGGCAGAATGTCTCAGAATATCAGTTGCTTGGGAACAAAAGTAGGGAGTGTGCTGTTCAGCTCATGTCCTGCTCACAGGCTTTCCATAATTATCTGGTTGCCCACTGTGAGAACAGGATGCTGGGCTAGATGGAACTTTGGTCTGATCCAGAAGGTCACTTGTAATGTTCTTCTTATTAGAACATACCCTCTTGAACCAGTAACCAAACTTCAGGTCTCCCAGGTCCACTCCACTCCACATATGAGTTCTTGGCAAATGGAGAAGTATCACATGGAAAGATGAACCCTTCTCTTAGTGAAGAACACTGGATACTTCTTACATTTCCCATGTAATGGCGCAACTTGAGCATTGCCCAGCTGTTCCTTTTTATGGCAAGTAAGCTGAACTGGACGACAGAGCTCCAAGCTGCTTCTGTCTTTGACCGTCCCATATACAATCAACTTGTACCGAAGAATTACCCTGCACATTTAAGTGTACGGGAGACTTTTAAATTCAGCATTTCCTTTAACACAGATGCATAAGAATCCCATAATTCATCATTCACCATGAAATCACTTGAAAGCTGAGGATTTAATAGCAGGGTGGAGTACAGAGTACCTATTATTATAATTCTTTCACAACCCTTACAAATCATAGGGCTACATGTTGACTCTCATCCTGTCAAGTATTGTGGTAAATAATTAAAAACAAAGTACATTTGACAAATAATGAAACGTTGTGCCATTTCCCCCTTGATTAAGAAAGCAAATAATCACATAACTCATTCATTGCAATGGATTTTCAGCCTATTAGAGTGGATTAAGAAGGTTTTTGTGTACAATAAATGGAATTTATATCCCATTGAAGAGGTAATGAAGAGACTGGTTTCTTGAATTATAAAAGCTGGGAAAGGAGCATGCTACTTATATTTGTAACCTCCATTCTTATGTTCTGAATGATGGAACAATAATGAGCACAAGGTTTTTTGTTGTGGGTTGTTTTTTTTTTTAAAAAAGTCATTTGAAGTTATTCACATCTGACTGCCATTTTTAGCCCTTTTGGGGGTAAGAGGCAAGCTTGACTACCACAACTGCAAATAAGTTAAATGAAGTTTTAATTAGACAGAAAGTTAGCAGAACTCTTTTTTGTATCTCATTCACCATTGCAATTTGTACAAATTTGTTGCCAATGCAGTTAATATGACATTTTGTCTCATTGCATGAAGGAGATTGGTCCCATCTTTTGATTTAACATGTTCATTGGAAACTGTATCTGTTCATCTCATTTCTAACTTCCATTAGAAGAAACAAAGTACAATCTTTGAGGCTCATGTTAACCCTGTCCATCCTCGTTTTGCAGAAGTGTGCTGCTTAACTGACCTCAACAACACCATAAAACCTGCATAAAACCTCTGCAATTCTCTTAGTATTCTCTGTTTGACGAAAACATGTTGTTTTTTCTTGAAGAAAGCAATATAATCACTGTCTTGTGGTTTCATGAAAGAGTTTCTATCAGTGGAGATAGAGTGCTGGAACCTTCACACACACCCAACACAAAGGAAAACTCCTCTCAGCTCCCCACCAGCAAAACAGGGATTTGTTTCATCAAGAGTATGAGTAAGAATGGAACACTTGTGCAGATGTAGAGTTTGAGTTCTTTATCTCAGCTGCTTTGATTAGAAAAAAAGTTGTTAATGGATTTCTTTTGTTGTGTATACATTTTTAGTCTCATTAAGGATTACAAAATGAAACACAGAACAGCATTCTTGACTGTCCTATTCAATAAAGCTTTGAGATCTTGCACATTTCTGAGACTCTAAACTGAAGATCACCTTAAACTAGGTAAGAGTGCTTTGATCTCCTTTACTAATAATACACTGCACTATGAAAGTACAAGTGTTGAATTTGAATGCAAAGCAAGAGAGGGATATGGTTTTGAACGGTGTGTATTTCAAGTTTTCTCAGAGCTAAGCTGTCCTGTAACAGAAGACCCCAGAGCACTTTTGGAAGGTGATGAGTTGACAAGTCTTTCTCTCTCTCTCTCTTAACACAGTGACAACAGCTGTTCAACATTTTGCTGAGCATGTATGCCCTTTGAGAAGACTAATTTGAAGTTGAGTTATTCCCAGCAAGAGTTCATTTTCCTAGCATAGCCCACATGCCATTTTAATCAGCAGTAAAACATAACTTACAGCAGGCACAAAAAACGCAGTAGCTTATTGGGGGAAATCATCACAAAAACTTGTTTGCATGTCCTCCATGACACCGAATTGGCTGCATATCTCCTATTGGGAGACTTCAGAACTGTAAACATGACCTCGAACCATTCCATGATAATCTCCTCCTTACTAAGTAGTACAATGCACCTTACAGAAAGAAGTTGTCTAAAGTCCTCATCTGTGCCCTTACATTTATCTTCATTTTGCCGTGTCTGAAATAATTGCTATTCCAGTGGAGAGGCAAATATGGAGTTTTGGCTGGTTGAGGGGAAAAAGAGCTGTGATTCTCAATATAATTTCCAGGCTTCATTCACAGTCATGGGCCTTACATGTGCACAGTCAGTCTCCTCCTTTTCTAAATATAGTTTCTTGAATTGCCTCTCTATATTGAAATTACTTTTTTTTTATTCATAACAGCACAATAGTCTATTGAGTCATTAAACCTAGTAGAATATTGGATAGAAATACTGACTGGTTGTTCATTGTACAAATTAGGATATTAGTACAGATATACAATGAAGAGCAACATGCAAGCCTGCCTTCCAAACATAGCCAAATTATGGTTTAGTGAGATGTGAAGGTATTCGGCTTGCACACTCCCTACTCCTTCTCCTGCACACACACCTGCCTGTTGGGGGAGGGGCAGGGGGAGGGGAGAGGCTGCTACCAAAATGCTGCCCCAAAGGGAGTTGTACCTTTGGGGTGGCACTTCATGGGGGGGGGATTAGGGCATGGGCCAGCCTCTTGTTGACATACAAAGGAACGCAACCAATTCCATTCATTTAGAAGCCATGGCAAAAAGGGTTTCTCTGTTAGTGGGCTTCTTTGCAGGCCAGGTGCAACTTAAAATCCTATTAAAAAGAAACTAACAAATTATTTAATGAAGAAGTGAGGACTTCCTTATTCCAACAGACTTTTGGGAACTGACTGTTTTTAATGAACTGTGTTGTTTTTATTGCAATTATGTCTAATACACACCCACCCACCCCCCGGTATATTGTAGCTTTAAATTATATTAATGTTTAATTGTTTTTTTAATGATAAAAATGTTTTTAGTTGTTCTTAATTTTATTTGTAAACCACCTTGAGTCCCTGTCAAGGAAAAAGATGGCATATAAATAAATATACCATGATGATAATGATTTAAATTTTTAGATCATATATTCATCCTGGATGTGCCTGGCTGCTGCTGCTTTAAAATTATTAATTTTGCTATTTATGCTTTTGAGTGTTAATTGACTCTTGACATCTTTGGACTAAATAATGGCTTACTAATGTTTGTAAGATAGAAAAAAATGCTGCTTCTTATTTCCTAAAAGTATACAGCATGACTTCCAAACTCTGTACTGTACTTACATATATATATTTTTTGCCACCTATAAAGTAATCAAGTAGTGGTCTAAACATTCCCAACAGTATTCAACATTTTGAACTAATAAAAGCAAATCATTCACTTGTCTAACTTTTGCTAGGATTTCTCTCAAATAAGCTATGTAGCCTCTTACCCAACTACATTTTCCAACTTGCTCCATATTTCCCCCCTTTTTTTTACTTCAAACTAATTATGGAAAAGGGACGCGGGTGGCGCTGTGGATAAAACCTCAGCGCCTAGGGCTTGCCGAGCGCATGGTCGGCGGTTTGAATCCCCGCGGCGGGGTGAGCTCCCATCTTTTGGTCCCAGCTCCTGCCCACCTAGCAGTTCGAAAGCACCCCTAAGTGCAAGTAGATAAATAGGTACCGCTTTATAGCGGGAAGGTAAACGGCGTTTACGTGTGCTGCGCTGGTGCTGGCTCGCCAGAGCAGCTTCGTCACGCTGGCCACGTGACCCGGAAGTGTCTCCAGACAGCGCTGGCCCCCGGCCTCTTAAGTGAGATGGGCGCACAACCCTAGAGTCGGACACGACTGGCCCGTACGGGCAGGGGTACCTAATTATGGAAAAGAAAAACATTATGCACAGTGGGTGGTCTACTCTGACCACAAAGTTAAATACCATGTAATCCCTTAAATTCTACTTAATCAGGAGCCATTCATTTCAGATGAGTAAACATGGCTGCTTTGGAATTCTTTGATGTATTAGCTGTTAACTTTCAGAGACAGTCATACATGGAGATTTCTCCCCCCTCCCCACTCAGCTTTATCTTGCGAATGGTTCAACCCACATCTGTGTGATTACACTAGCCACTTCTCAAACGGTGTGTGTGCATATCACAAGCCCATGCCATTGTTTATTTTTCCACTGAACAGCTGATATGGATTTAGCTAGCTTATTAGTTATTTTACCTGTATGTTGTTCTTCAATCCAATCTTGCAGGTACATGAAGAGGAATAAACCCATTATTCCAAACATCAGTACAGATACATAGACTAGTTTTAGGTTCATGGCCCTATCGGAGGACTACATTTCTACTCGCTTCAGAGGATTGCACAATATACTTTTCAGATGCTTTCAGTTCATTATCTTTTTCTTCTTCTGTTTTTCTGGAAATGCCAATCTGGAAAAGACACAATAAGATAAATTCATTTTTCTAGTGCACTCTTCTTATGAATATCACAGCATACTATATATACCTTTGCAGGTTCCCCCCTTCCCTTTTATTTCTCCAAGTGAAAGGAACCAACAAGCTTGTGTTTTCTTCTGGGACTGTTTTCCCCACTTCCTCAGTAATTCAGCTTTGGATTTAAACTGGGAGTTGTGAAGATTCTTAAAATCTGATGCCTATAAAAAAGGCTCATCTCAGGATTGCACAAAGTTTTCTCAAACTTTCTCTTACTGCTAAAGGTAAAGGCACCCAAGATTGTGAGAAACTAAACCAAATAACAGCCTTGGGAAACAAATCAGCACAACTGTACTACCATTTCCTAGCAGAACACTTGTTCACATGTGCTTGGATTGTTATAAGAATTTTAAGGTCATATATATAAAATAAATGTTCATAAATGTACCAATGTATGGAGCAGCACAGGAACACCTTCCTGAAACCATTTTGACTCCCAAACTGACCAAATGTTTTCTCTGCAAGGAGGGAGGGGGTGAGGAAACTTTCCCATTGTCTCAGGAAGTGGGTAATCACCAGGCAATCAGATAAGGCATTATCAGAAAACCGGCCAGACAGGAAAAACAACAACACTCAAATTTCTGTTGTAGACCTTCTTTTCTGTGATGTAGGTATGATGTATGGAGGGGTGGTCTTGAGCTCCAGGGCAGGGAATTTGAAATGTCTATATAAGGGCAGGCACACCTTTGTTAGGGGTTCCTCCTCTGTCCTCCTGCATGTGAGGGGAGCACCCTGTTGCAACAGTTTTAATAAAGATCAGGCTTACTAGCTGCTTAGCTACTCAATATTCTCTGGTTGGCCTCTGTTATTTTCTCCTACCAATAGGGAACCCACGTAAGGATTCTATATGGGCTCTTGGATACCCCATAAGGGGAAAAGGGCAGATTTTGTTTACAACAGGGTAAAATTTAGAAGGAAACACCTCTGACTTGAGAGGAGAACCAAAATAATAAAAATTAAAATTAAATAAAAAAGTTCTGAACCTCTTACACCGCTATTGTCAAGATGAACAGCTCTCTGGAAGCAGGAGGCAGTATAAATACACTAATATGGGAAGCCAATGCAATGCCGTACCTTCAAAAATATTCCTATAGGCCAAAAGTTAGCTCAGTGGCAGTTCCTATTAAAAGCACAAACCTGGCTCTGCAAGGAACATGCATCAAGGTTTGTTTTTTTATAGGACCACTTTGCAGTCATCGATTCAAACTACATAGGAAACAACCCTATTAAGAGCCAGATTCTCACCAGTGGCTTCAAGTGGAACAGGCTCAAGCCCAAAGCTTTCTGAAGAATAATCTTACTTGCAACACAGAGCCTCAGGAGAGGGAAATCATTAATTTAAATGCCCTTCACCTGCCACTCAAAAACAGCAGGATGTTAGAGTTGACGAAAACGCAATACAGAACCTTTTGTAGAATGCTAGAGAAAGTAAAGCTTCTTAAATTGCTTTTAAAATCTAGCACATTGTAATTCAATTGAGTATAGTATAGAGGGAGTATTAAATTGCAAAGCAAAAAATCCAAGCCTATCCTGAAATTCAGTACAATGATGCCCTTGGAAAGAATATTCAATAAGCAGTGTTTCGAGTGAACTAAAGAAAAAAATAAGTAATAAGGTAAAATAAGACAGTTGGGAACAATCATTTGAGAAATATTTGATGTTTTGTTTGCCATTCTGGTGGTGAAGTTTCTATTTGTAGACCTAGATCTCTGCAGAAGAACAGGCCTATAAACAAGTTATATAAGATTGAACACCATATGGTATACAGACAAATGAAATTGGCCCTCAAATACTGGATTCTCCATAAGTTTCAGAGCCAGCTTTTTGGCTCTTATTAAGAGAAACGTATAATGTAAGCAATAGCTATCATAGGAACCTTTTAAAAAATGTAGCCCAGAAGTCTGAAAATAAAATGATTCTGCATTGATAAAATAATACAGAAAAGTTAAGGACTACATGATAATTCCAACCAAATGCTGCACAGGGAACAAAACAACTTAAATGTCAGTATAGGATGATTATCAGAATGCCAAGTTGTGTTTAAGTAAATAATAATAACAAAGCTAATTTTTAAAATGTCTAGCAGATACTGAGCTCAAATACCAGTAAGTTTTTGGAAGGTACCCAACCCTGTGCCAGTGTGCTGAAAAGGTTTGCTTTCCACCGGGGGTGGAAAAGCTGTGGCCCTCCAGAGGTTAAAACCACAGATTCCATCATCCATGATGACTGGCCATGCTGGTTGGGGCTAATGCGAGCTGAGAGGTCAGCAACATCTGGAATGCCACAGGCTCCCCACTCTGCACAGGCACTAGCACTTACTAGCACAGTGACAGAGGCATGGAAGCAATGTGGTTCATTGTACCACAGGTCGCAGTTCCTCACTGGACAACTGCTGTCCATCCTCCTCTATCAGGGCCAAACTGCATGTTTTGTTAAAAGGGCATGGTGCCGCATGATTCTTTTAAAACTTTAAACAAAAGCTGCAGGGAGGGGCTGATAAGAATTGGGGCAGAACCAAATAAGAATTAGGATCACAGCATTATGCTCACCTTGATGAAAGTCCCTCTACCCCTGAGCTGCTATTTCCATAAGGGGAAAAGCTGTCATTAGGCTCAGGTTTGGTTTTATTTGAATTTTGGCAACAACAAATGCATGGCTTTGACATGGAGCCCGCTCAAACCAGAGACCTGTCTCAATCAGGCTGACTAAATATCTATTTTTCCTATGGGTTTATGAGCATCTAAATGAGCTCAAATGCATTCAAGTTACCAGGTCAGGTCAGGTCAGGTCAATTACTTGCTATAGCAGGCATGAACTTGCTGGTGATGAATGATAAGAAAGCTAGGTTGGGGCAAAATTTGTTTTCATCAGTGGTTGAAAATATTTTAGGTGCAATGTAAAATCGTTTATGTTTCTTTTGCTTTTTTAAGGCTGGCTCAATTACCTGAGAAGTAAAGAAATAACAGCATCGCCAGATGAACAGCTGTACTCCATCTAGGGGGTTGTTAAACTAAGTTGTATTGATAATTGTTGTCCTCTCTGCCCTATAGATTTCTGAATGAAGGCTGTTGTCAGAGGGTTCTATCCTTCATTTTGTTGCTATTCATGCACACATCTTGATTAACTACATTTTTAATCAGCACTTCATCAATTGATCCCAGAGAGTTACAACAAAATTAAAACAACAATTAAAACAATCCAAACTAAATAAGAGAAAGCTATAATCAGGGGCGGGGAACCTTAGGCCTAGGCCAGATGTGGCCCTTCACTGGTCCTGATTCACAATGACCCTAAATGTTTTTTGCCAGGCTGCAATTTGTCCTTGAATGCTGATAATGCTGCTTGCCTGCCTAGACGAAAGATAGAAGGAAGGATAAGTGTGTGTTGGAGCTAGACTACTGTAGGATTGACATTTATTGCTTTTCCCCATTTATGTCTCTGACCCTTCCCAACACTGGTATGTGGGCTCCAGCAGGGTGCCCAGGAGGGAATGCAATCCTTGGGCTGAAAGAGATTCCTCACCCCTGATCTAAATCAAATGCACAATAAAAATTTCTGCCACATCTATTGTAGCAGTGGGCCAACATCCCATAAATACCTAGGCGAACAGGCATGCTTGAACCTGGTCCCAAAATGTCAACGAGGTCAGCACCAGTTACATTTTCATAGGAATGGCATTCTATAACTGGGACACTGCCACTGAGAGAACCCCATGTTGTGTCAGCACCTAATGAATTTCCTCTGGTGTAGAACAATGAAAAGCCCCTGATCTCCCAAAACTAGGAACCTGAGCAGATTGATATATGGAGAGGCATTCCTTTAAATACCAGGACCCCAAGTCATTTAGGGCTTTATAGCACAACAGTGTCATCTGAAATGCAGCACAGAATTGAACAGGTGGCCAAAGGAAATCTTTCCAATCAATATGGCATGATCTGATGGCTGCCCCAGTCAACATTCTTGCTAACTGAAGGTTTTGGGTTTATATTTAAAGGTAGGAGGTTCAAGGAAGTGGTTTGTCACAAAAAGCAGCAAAAGAAAAGAGAAAGGAGAAATGGCATGGGGGCGGGGGGGGGGCGGGGAGCATTAGTTCTTTTTTAAAAAAAAAACCAAAACACTGGTTGCATGCTGGCTGCTGGGGCTCACCTGTGGTTGCTGCCTCAAATTCTACTTTAAGAATTTTGGCAGTCACACAATTTTATTGTGTTTAGGCAGAGTTTTAATTAAGACTCACACACTTCAGGCTCAGACTATTTGCACAGTTATTATTCTGCATAAGATTTGAAAAATGCCAGCCTGATTAATTAGTGCAGTTAATACAATGATTTGTGATCTACAGCCTGCGCTCATAAGCTTCATTAAAACCATGACTATGACACGAAGATAGATCATTGCCTTCTGTGTCAGACACAGCAGGAGGTAACTTTTTCTATTAGAATTCTCTGTAAGAGTTCTTAAGTTTGTGCCATTAGCATATTGCTAAGGAATAGTCTCTTTCACACAAAAGTCCCAAAAGTTCTACAGACCTCAATTCTATCACCTGGGAATTCACCTCATGTGATAAATTTAGTTTATGCCACCCTACTTGAATGCAAGAGCTCTGCAGTGAAGTATGTCTCTATGAAGTTGAAAGATATGAGCAAGATGTTATTGTTCAGTTATCAGAGAGATACTCTTTAGAGAAACATGGGTTTTTTTAATGAAAAGCACAAGAATCAGAAAGCAGCATTTTTTTTAAAAAAATAAAATAAATCCAGAGTACAGTGGTACCTCGGTTTAA